TCGTTTACCCTTACCCAAAAATATCGAGATACAAATAATCCAACAACATATCCGATATTTTTGTTTTTTCCTAACTTCTAACAAAGCGCGCAGTTTGATTTTTTCGTTGCTATTTCGTTCATTTTGACATGTTTTGGGCGATTTAATAAATTTCTCAGTAATTAAGATTGTTTTAATGTTTAATTTGATAGCTTTGTCTGCTCGTCGAGCTCTTTTTGAAAAAAGATAACTTCTCTAGTTGTTAAAAACAATGAAATTGAAGAAGCTCTTGAATCTTTTGCAGATCGAAGAGATTCCGTCTGAAGGTGGTTTAATTGGTTTAAAATTTCCAAATAACCATCAGTGGTTATACGAACTTCTAGCTCTGGAATGACGTTAAGTTTTTCAATTATTGATTGTGATCTTTTGTTAAAATAAGTGTACTTGACAGCAAAATAGACCGTTAGCTATTCTCACGAAATCTAACTTTGAGAAGTTACAGTAGATTGTTGCTTTTAATTGAAATCAAACCAAAATACTTATTAAGTTTCACTTATACAGTAAAACCTCGCAAAGGTTGTACTCGCATTTTCGGTTTTTGGACCGGCCCGACAGGGACCGCACCAGCTTTTTGCGCTGGTTACACATTTGTTAGTTTGACGAATCCAGGGTAGGGGAGAGAGGGTTTCCAGAGGGCTTATGCTCTGGGTAAGCTTGAGAGGGTCTGCCCGACCTAAGGACTTCGACGAGATTCGAACGCTAACCCCAAGATGCAGAACACAACATATGAAAGTTAGCAGTCTTATCGCCGTTGGAGTTAACCCATTAGGCTAACTCGCAAAGGTTGTGAGCGGTCCTGCCGCCTAGCGATATTGTTTGTGCAACTCTTTGGCATGATTAACATAATTACATTGTAAAAGCGGGGAAAAAGCTTAAATCCCAGAGATGGCGTTGCTCTATTTCATACAACCTTTGCGAGGTTTTACTGTAATTAACTTATTTTTACTATTTTAAATTGAATCATCTGTTATTTTCCAGTAATTCTCATTCTCCAGAATGAAGTTAAAAACTTTATTCATTCCGATGGATGCGTAAGTATTTCAATGATTGATTAAGGCTTGCTGATACACTAATTATGTTTCATTAATTTACCCTTGAATGACCTAGCTATGGGCATGTTAATTCATGCATAGGACTAGCCAAACAATTGATAAAATATGATCATGAAATTATTTTTATTGTGCCAACGAATTGGACTAAAGCAGTTGAAGGGCATGGTTTTACCATCAAAACTGTATCGTTGGAAGGTTATGAAGCAAATGTGGATCCTCAATCAGGATTTTCTCATTTCATGGAGGATAAAGAAAAGCTTTATAACATGGAGCCAATCGAGCAATTTGAGGTTCTTAATGTCAATATCCATGATGCATTCTTGCGCTATTTAGAGCAAACAGATGACCAGTATGAACAGTTGATTTCACAAATCAAACCATATTTAATCATCTATGATTTCTGGGTAACAGTTCCAGCCATTTTAAAATCGGGAATTCCATATATATTACTGTGGTCGTGCAGTCCAACACTGCCCTATTGGAAAGTGAATGGTCCTCCTTATTCATCAGGCCTAGGAATTTCAGATGCTCCAGAGAAACTGAAAAAATATCGAGATGATATGAACAGTCTTTTGAAAGATAAGAAATCAAAATTTTATGATTATTATCAAAGTAGAGGCATAGATATCAGTAAAGTTACTTTTCTTGATTTTACTATGCTCAACGAATCACCTTACCTCAGTGTCTATTCATACCCAGAAGACTTGGATTACTCAGAATATGGTCCAGTTCCTGACAAGTGGTTCCGTTTAGATCATATAGTTCGTCTTTCTGATCCAGCGACTCCTCTTGGAATCGATGCAACTTTTTTTCAAACTAAGGATAAAGTTATTTTATTCACCTTAGGATCACTTGGCACATCAAATTATAATCTTATCACACGATTGGTTAATTTTCTTGAAAAATCAAAACACAAATACATAGTATCTACTGGTGTTCATCACGATAAGATAAAATTACATGCGAATATGTGTGGATCACAATATTTGAATCAAATGGCCATCATGCCACGAGTTGATATGGTTATTCATCATGGAGGAAATAATAGTCTTGTTGAAACTCTGTATTTTGGTAAACCCTTCATTGTTATGCCACTGTTTGGTGATCAACATGATAATGCTCGTCGAGTGGTTGATAAAAAAATTGGGAAATGGCTACATCCATTTCGAGTCTCTGAAGATGAACTCCTGAAAACCATTGATGAAGTATTGAGCGACGAAGAAATGCATGAAAGAGTCAAATTAATTAGCCTGAAGATGCAAAACACAAAAAGTCATCAAATTTTCAATGAAAAAATCATCAAAATAGTTAAAGAGCATACGAAACAATGAGATAAATTTGTATATTAAAAGAAATAATTGTTTCAAATTAAAATTTCATTTATCTTCCCAATTTTTGCTGTTGCGAAACTAAGAGATTCAAGATGTTTGGTTATTTATTGCTCAAATTACGGGCTTAGAAAGTTGCATGAGTGGAAAACCAAGGCGAAAAGTCCTCACACTGCATGTGATTGACATTAAATAAGGTGGTGATTCACGATTCAATACTAGCTCAAAAATCAGTTTTGACCTACAGCCTACTGTGGTCAGGCCAGGCTAGGCTGTCTAAAGGTTTCTCCAGAGCCGCCCGTGTCCATAGGTGAATGTTAAGAAAGGGTCGAAGCATATTTCGTCAAAAATCAGGACTAGAGATGGTAAAGAGCTGAAGATAAAGATAGTAATGTCCATACGACAATCAGAATATTCTTGCTCAGTTATTGTTTTTAGTTTTTGCATCTCAATATCATCAACCATCTCATAATTATTCATTTTTACATTTTTACCAACATTCCAGTAAGCGTTTCTTTACAAATTCAAGGTCTGTCTTCATTTCTATCAGTTTTATAAAAAATAGGTTATGAGAAAGATTGAACTTACAACCATTATTGAAGTCAACATCAATTCAACCAAAGATTCAAGAAAAAAAGAAATAATTTTGTTTTGTTTCAAAATTATGTTGTAATTGATAATTTATATGTTTTCATTAATTTGTATTGTTTGTAGACAATTGTTAGGCTTGAAAATGAAATCTAAAGTATTATAATTCAATACCATTCAGATACCTTTCATTTGTTTGAATATTGTTTGTCAAGACTATTATCGTAGTTTGTAAAGATCAGTAATTTCCTCTGATTTATCTTGTTTAACTGAATGATTATTAATGTTGCGTATTCACAGTTGAGTTAATCTCAAATTTGTCGCGAAATTGAAACAGTATTGCCTCAAATAACAGTCTAACTGTTGAAGTTGATGGTGAATGTGATTACATTGAATAATCAAAGGTGTTCAAAGGTTAGAATGTTTTACAATCACTGTTTAAAAGTTTAATGCAAAAATGGTTAATAACACAATGTTATTGAAATGTCGATTTAAATAAGCTCAATATTTTTATTGAAACTCTTTATTTGTATACAAATATTAAGACAATGTCAGCCACAACTGTCGACTAATAAATTGATCAAATTTAGAAATGATTCCAATGGCAATCATTGATATTGTCAATGTTAGATGGTAATGATTTTTCTGATGTTATTAACCGCGATGCGGAAAATAAAGACGCCTATGTTTCGTTGTATTTGTAAGATAACGATGACAACATGCACCAAAATACTGCAAAATATTGCAATCAACTAAAGTGTTGAACCAGACATTTGTCCATCTAACCTCAGATGTTATAGCTCTGACTTTTGGGAATATTTCCGAATTTAAAATTATTTCTTTCTTTTTATCCAACCAAGATCTGCTGTTTTTGATTTGACAATAGAATTCAGAGCATTCGGTTGGATGAATGTCTTCACGTTCTGCTGAGAAAAGATCAACATACAAATCGAGCGGATGTTCGTGATCTAATAAAAACAAAGATGAGCGCAGATAAAAACAATCGCCATCATTAATCCTTTGCCAAAATGTTTCATTCACTCGTGGAGGTGGAATGGTAACGTAAAGAGTGTGGAAATGACTTTCTGTATTGGAAAGCGAAATATGATTCGTTGTCGGGTAAATGTCGACGACCCTAATATATTGTATTGGTAATCCAATAAAAGATGCGATCTGAAATGATTGCAAAGTATTTGTCAATTAGTTATAAGAAAATATATAAATATAAAAAAATAAGAAGTATTGTGATTACCTTTCGGATGAGTATTTGCTGTTTATGTTCACAGCTTTCATCTGACCAATCAATTGTAATATCCTGGTAATCCTCATCACTTAGTCTCACTTTGATAGTTATTTTACTCGAGGTATCGTTGTTTACAGTCATTTTAAATAAAGTTTTGATTGATATTTAAAACAGAGAGAAATAATGAATTTTAACTTCCTAAGTGGGTTCTCAACAAAAAATGGTCAAAACTAACCTTTTGTTTGTTTCACAGGTGCTCAAAGTTTGAAATACCAACTCAAAAACCAGTTTTGACCTACAACCTAGTGTAGTTAGGATAGGTTAGTCTGTCTAAAGGTTTTACTCCAGAACCGCCTAAATATGTCCATAAGTGAATGCAAAGAAATGGTCAATGTATATTTTGCAAAAAAGATACGGCAGAGATGGAGATGTAGAGTAGAGGGTTTGCGGTAAGGCAGTAACTTTTACGGACAGAGGCGTTAACATTAGAACATATGGAGAGGATTCTTAAAAAACACACTTTATCTAACCAATTAAAAAATTAAAAGAAGAAAAGCGCAAACAATGGTATAAATAAAATTCATGGTTTTTGACGAAGTATTGAACGATAAAGAAATGCACGAGAAAATCAAAGCATTTAGCTTGAAGATGCAAAAAACAAACAGTCATCAAATTTTCAATGAAAAAATCATCAAATACATCAAAACAGTTAAAGATCATACGAAACAATGAGTTAATTTGTTAATTATTAATATAAGAAATAATTATTCCAAATTAAAATTTTTTTCTGTTATAATAAATCACCTGTTACCTTTCCGATTTGTGTTGTGCTGAAACTGAAATTCAATATGTTTGACAACGTTGAGATTGAGAATTTATTAATCATGAGAAATTACCATTTCGAATTAAAATTTTATTTTCTGGTACAGCATTATCTATCGTCAGAAAAATTATGATCAAATATTCATTTAATTTTTGCAATTTTAGTGAAGATTAGTTGGCAAATTGAATTTACAGTAACATAAGAATCGCATAATAGAAACATTAATCTATACAATATATAAAGTCAAACTATGAAATTTTTGCGGGAAGATTGTGGCCAAACTAAACGGGTTCTAAAGAAAATTTTCACTTAGGATGAAAGCCATGATTAAACTACAATCGCAAAAAATAGTTCGAACTTTCTCGGAATTCAGGTTACTGAGAAATTAGTGTTCAAACAGGGTAGGGGAAAAAACGCAGAATCCGTATCTTTTACTATTGACATTGGGGGAAAAACTTTTTGGTTAATCAGGTTGATGGTTTATTGTTGGATTAGAAGGATAAGTAAAAATGTCTTTCGAGTGAAGAGTTAAGTGAAAAATATAGTACCTTAACTGTACAGAAAGATTTCATTCTGTTCAGCTATATAACCAGATTTTATTTTAGTTTTTAGTTTTTCTCATTTCTCATTGACGATGGTTTTTCATCAAGAATTTGAGTCTTTAAATATGGATTGAATTTATTGTATTTCAGTGAAAAAATTAAGATCAGTCATGATCGGGGGTTCCACTTGTTTTATTAATCTCTTAAATCATGAATGTAAGGTGGTGCCTTATTTAATGTCAATGCCAAGCAGTGTGAGGACTTTTCCCATCGGTGTTGTTCCGAAACCAAGAGATTCAAGATGTTTAGTGATTTTATTGGTCAGATTACGGGCTCGGAAAGTTGCATGACTTAAAATCATAACCAAAGGTGTAAGAATTCCCCATAAGAGGAGATAAACATCGAAAAAGTAGAAAACTAGACCAATACATAGAATCAGAACTGCCATGGAAGCAGCTGCATATCTTTCTTTGAAATTAGTGATGATTGGAAGCTTCGAAGCAACTAGAAGATAAATAACTGTGAATAAATACGCCGAGAAAACTCCTTTCATCATTCGATCAGGTTTTAAAATTCTGTGGATAAAAGAAAATAAACATTAGTTAATCTGAAAAATCCATAATTAATAACTTAAATTGAGCAAAAACTTATAACAAGTTGATATTAATGTCTCAAGGACAATGAGAAGGATTACATTGTTTACTTCCACCTGGAGACGTGATTGATGAATGACCACCTGATCAGGTGATTCCGTTTGAATAATTGATTGAAACATAATACTGTCAATGTCACCAATAATTCAATTAATCTTCAAGGAGGAATGCACATCTTTCAACAAAAATTACAACAACGGAACAGAACGAACAAGTTGTCAACTACTGCAACATGACATCATGTAAAAAGCAGAACAGAAATAATTGATTTAATGTTTTAACAATTGATCAAAGCCAATATATAGTTAAGGTGAGATAAAATAAATGACTAATAATTAAAAATAAATTACAAATTAGCTTAGCTAGTAAATACACTTATCATTTAAATTTTTTCAACTGAAACAAAAGGTAAATTTACTACAGATCTTTCCACTAACTTTGTCATTGAATCCAAACAATGACATGAATGAAAAACAAAACGAGTTGAATGAAAAGATGGGTAAACAAAAGACAATTGACCAAACAAAGAGCCTGACATCAAAATTTGACAGTTTAAATACTGGAAAAATTGAACCGTTTAAAAGTGATCACTGATCAGGTATATAGTTAAAGTGGTTATTTATAAAACATACCCAGAAAGAATGCAGGCGATGAGCCAAATGGCAAAATAATTAGTTTGGTAATAAAGAAGATTGTCTCTAATCCTTCTGGTGAATCTAGCTGGATCATTGAAAGCAGGAGGCTTAAATTTACCCATGAAATCATTTGCCCTGAAGGGTGCGATTTCAAAAGATGGTCCAGATGAGGGTGTAGGTGAGTCCATTATCAACTGTGAAGTTTTAAAATCAAGCACAAATTATATCGACAAGTAAACTGTTTGCTGTAGTTTTTCCTAGCAAAACATTATATTATTATTTCAAGTCAACAAATAACAGTTTTATTGTGCAAAGGTTTATTTTGCTTGTAAAAGTTAAGGGAGGAGTACTGAGGGTATGTTGATGTATTAAATATTGTTTGCAGGTAAAACACTTGTAAAACAATTCTTGAATCAGTATGTACAGTGCCTGTGAGTACGGTTCTTGATCAGTACCAGTCTTGACATATTTGAATTTGATAAGACTTACCTGTGATCAAATGCATTGATTTTTACGATAAGTTAATTGTTGATGAAAATCTTATTTGTTTCAATGTTTCCATGGTTTTAAGTTGAGCTGGTTTTAAGCCGAGAGTCAGCCGACGGTTATTCTCACCCCCTTATCGCTCACTTGGTTGTGTTTGTTTGATTTTCATTTCCTATTTTCTTAATAATTTTCTTTGTTTTTTACTGAATAATTAAAAATTTGAATTTAAATCCATAGGTAAGTTGTTTCAACCTCCATAATTTTACTTACTTTAATCTGATTATCTCTTCTGCTTTTATTTTACAGTCATGGCAACCTTAAAAGAACGTGAAATTGTCCCTGATGAACTTATGGCTCATGTTGAAAATTTAAGGAGATTCATCAAGGACCAGAAAATGATTAGAGAGGAGAATTGTTGTCAACGATTTACCATCGAACCAATTGTGCAAATTGAAACGGAAATGGACGAGAACATCAAGGCAGTATTACCTAAATTGGAAATTGAAATTCAAAGATGTACCAAGACTGTTGATTCATTGAAGAAAGAAGCTAGAGAATTGTTACACGATGCTGAAATGTCCTATCGTTTGAGTAAATCTGGAGTAGCATTTAGAAGTATTTACAACTCACCTGAGAATCTTCACTTCAATAGTCCATTCGTTGATAAATATTTTCAAACAAGGATTGAAAAATTTGAAGAGCGGGTTAAAGTTTATCAAGAACAGATAAAGGATCTCCAAACTTTAATCCAAACCTTTAATAAATCTTACACACCTGAAGAATTATTTGCCATAATTAGACGTCAACATGAAATACTTGTGGGATTGTCATCTCAGGTCTATGCAATTCAAGATACAGTTGCTAAAAGCGGTCGCCCAGCTATGATTGCCTGATCAACTCTTCATAAATGTCTACTTGTTTTTAAAAACAATGTCAAACAAATGCTCATCCAAGCTTCTCTGTTTACACAATCAAACTTATCATTCAATGTAAAAACTTGAGAGGCGACTAAATGATTCATAAAATTGATAAGCTTTACAATCTTTCAGATGTCCTGAATAATCATTTTCTTGTGAAAATCTCCTCTATTCCAGCATAAATTCCGTAGCTTGTTGATAATATCGACTTGCTTAAACTTTCAATTTCAACTGATCTGAAATAAAATAAAAAAGAAATGATAAAAATAAATTCAAACCTTATCTATCTAGAAATCATGAATCATTTTTTTATCTGTTATAAACCTGTAACAATTGCCCCTCCAAAGTAAACAAAATTATTATAACTTAATCGCGCTCTCATGGTAACGTTGATTAAACTTGATTCACCATTTTCTTGTGATTTCTACCTTTTTGTCTTACCTTATCATTTATCACACAGTTACTTTCTTCCCCTAATATCAACGTTATTACCATCCATATAGAGTAATCAATTGATTCTTGGTTAATTGTGAAAATATTTTTCTATCACTGTTTACAATTTAATTTGAATTTCATCAATTCAATTTCAACCAAATTTAATTTACGTACAAAGCTAAATTAACTTAAAAACATGACGGTTTGGGACTTCGCAACCCCAGACTCTGCTCTACCTTGCTTCAAGTATTTCATTTTTGGATTTAATTTTGTGACTTGGGTATGTTTACCAAAAATCCTTATTTATTGTAATTTAAACTAATTTTCATGATTACCTGTCTTTCAGTGCCTTGGAGCAACTTTATTAACCGTTGGAATAATAATCAGGACCGATGATACTTTATATGAATACACTAAGGCACTTGAGATCCAACGGTACTACATTTCAACTTACATTTGTATGGCAATTGGTGCTTTAATCATTATCATTTCTTTCATTGGTTGTCTCGGTGCTGCCGTTGAGAGTCCATGTCTTCTAGCCTTCGTAAGTCCACATTTAAACAATTTACAAACTATTAGTTTGATTATTATTGAATAATAAATGAATCCAACCTATTTTATTCAATCTATGTTTAGTATGTTTTTATTACTGGTATCTGTATGGCTTTGGAAGTTACATGTTGTGTCTTGGTCTGGAAAACTGCTGGCGGTGAAGCTGTAAGTTCATACTCTAAATTGTCTAAATTCATTCTTTAATTTCTGGATAAACTCTGATCATTTTTATGATCACATTATTGTTTATTGAATAAAAAGTATGTTCCTCAAACATTGAAATCAAGAGCAAACAAAGATTATCCTGACGATAACTAACATGAGTTGAGATTGCAAATCTATAACACAAGACATTAATTGCAAACAAAAATTAGGCTATCTAAGGTTAGAAATTAAATAATTTTCTAATAACATGAGCAAGGCTTGTCCGGAATATAATCTTGAAATATTTTCTTGTCTGCTGTTTTAACCGAGGGCTGTTTACAATTTATCCAGAAATTGAATGATTGACTTCGAGATCTGTGTTATGTGTAATACTGTTACGAATACAATTTATTGCTAACAAAAATGAAATTTAATTTTCTTCCCCAGCTCCAAGCGGAATTGACCGAGCAAATGCTGAATCACATACGAATGTTTAATACAAATTTGGATTCTAAAAGATTCATGAATTTGATTCAGTACAGAGTAAGTGTTCAAGCTTGTCCAAAATTTATCAAACATATTTCTTTAACATCTTTTTCATCAAATCTGATTCAGCTTGTATGTTGTGGAGCTCGCGACCGTTTGGATTATGAAAACTATGGCCTGGATGATCCGGCTTCGTGTTCATCAGAAAGAACCAATAACATCAATATCAGGGTAAATGTAAAAGTCAAACAAACTGTAGACCCAAAATTTGATTGAATTGATGTTATGATACTCAATTCAAGCTTTGAATGTTATATTCAGATTGCCTTGGTCTGCTTAAATTTTTTTTCACAAATCAATTATTTTTGAACTCATATAATTAACATTCTGAATATTTTTTCCAGAGTTGTGGTGAAAACCTTCGTCGTTATCTTGAAAAGCGTGGTGGTGCTATTGGTGGTATTTCGGTGGGTTTATTGCTATTACACATTTTCTCTCTTGGTTTCAATGCTTGCCTATTTTGGGGACTTCATCAGCTATCACGATATCGCTATTAGATCAACATTGGCCAACATTTTTTTCATAAACTATTGTAACCCCCCTTCAGCCTTTCATAAACATTTACTGCTAAGATATGGAAGCTGAACAATTTCATTCCTTTTCAAGTTATTTCACGTAAAGACCTTTTTCTATCATACATTCACCTTGACTTTAATAGTTAACCAGTTTTCGCATCGTTGGAAATCGATGCTTATTTCAACCAACTTGACAATTATTCTCTTTAACCTAACCAATATGCGAATATAATGAAATTAACAGTAAATGTACATTTTTTACTCTAATGACTTCTTTATTAATTTCTTAAAACTACAGATTTATTTCAATTTATACCAATATGTTGCAATTTCATAGATACCAATAATAGATAAGATCACATTCGTGCTTCAAGCATCAAGGCATTTGCTCGAGTTCCTTAATTCTATCGTTGATCCAAGATAATTTACTTGCAACAGTGGCGTATACTGCATTACCTTTACCTTCGCCACAAATCGGACCAAGTAGTGTTGCCCCTGTAACTTGGCTAGCTATTCCGTAAAGATACCATTGATTATCAACTAGACAAACCAATGGCCCACCAGAGTCACCACTACAAACTCCTGTGCCTCCTCCTCCAGCTCTCACACAAACTTGACCTTTTCCTTCTAAATCGACCGAATCAGGATCAGCACATTCTTTCAAATCTACTATTTCGACTGGAAGTTGCTTAAGAATTCCACTATTTCCAGTTCCATGAGTATCTCCCCAACCGGTAACGTAACATTTAGTCCCAGTCTTCAGTGGTTTTAACGAATCAGCTAAACAAACAGGATTTACTCCATCTGTTATGTTGATTGGAACTTTTAATTTTATCAGTGAAATATCGTTCATAAAATCATATTCTGGAGGTGTAGCATTGTAAGTTACTATGGAATCAACCAAACGAATTTGTTCAAAGTTATCCTTCTTGAATGAATTGTGATTCCCAAGGACCACTCTCACCGACTCAGGTTTAGGATATCTGAAAGAAGATATTTAAAGTTAAGAATCAATAATTCACAATAGAAGAACTCATGGAAATAAAATAATTACGCAGCAATGCAATGACCAGCAGTCAACACGTATTGTGGATGAATCAAAGCTCCGCCACAAAAATGTCCTGATGGCCACATAATTGAAAATTGCAAATCTGCTTGCCATGGCCAGCTTCCTGGAATAACTGGATCACCTCCAAGAATTCTGAAAGTGTATCCACTTGTATCAGGATTTATCTTTGTATTTCCACAGGTATACTCGGCAGTCGGTTTATTGGGACATTCTAACTCATCTGATCCATCATAACAATCAAATTTACCATCGCATAAGGATGAAAGAGGGAAACAGTTTCCAAGACTACATTGAATTTCATTTGGTTTGCATGAGTTAATTTTTTTCTGAGTTGACCATGAAATATGGAAACCTCGTCCTGAGAAAATATAGTCACTTTTAAACTCGATTGAAAGTAGAGGAAAGTTTGCAACTAAGAAATCGTTAGGTTTCTCTGTGCCACATATTCGTCTGTATAGAAAGCTCTTGCTAATGTTTGATAGCACATTAAAAGTCAAGCTATCACCGTCACAGTTGCTCGTCTCATCCAAGTCCAGATCCTCAATCTTGATTCTTAAATACTAAAAGTAAAATTTAACTGAGTTAATTCAAACTTGAACAAAGAAATCTAAAGCTTCAAATTTCAATAGCAGTCAACATCATTAAAAGCAGAAGTCAAACTTACTTCACTCGTAGGGACGAGAATAGTCCATTGACAATCAAGATCTTCTGGGTATGATGAGTTGGAGAGATAACCAGGACTGTAGATATTTCCTGTTGGTTCTGTAAAAATGTAGGAAGCTTTTTTATTACATATTGAATCTGGAGCTGGTGAACAATTAGATAAATACGAATTAAACAAAATCACCGCTACAAAAATGTGGATGTTCATTGTGAATACAGTTGAAAGAAGAATAGAATAGTATCTAAAACGATGTTTGAGTCAAACTTATATCCAATGGCGAATGATTTTAATCGCTCCTGAATTATTATATTGTTGTTAATTTCAGCGTTCACCATTAAAAAAAATTTCATTATTTTCCAGGAAAAAAACCAACGAAAAGATTGTATCAAAAATGGTTACAAAGAGTGCATTTGCTTTTTGTTATTTTAGATGAGATATCAATGTCAAAAAGATAGATTTCTTGTGAAACAATTACAAAATTAGACCAAAAATTTGAAAGAATTGATGTTTTATAAAATTCATCCGAATAGATAATCATTCTCTCTAAGTTCAACAATATGCGAATATAATGAATTTTTCAGTAAATGTCCATTTTTAATATAATGACTTCTTTATTCATTTCTTACAACTACATATTTTTTTCAATTGATGGCAACATTTTGGCATTTAAACAATTGCCAATAATAGATAAGAGCTTTAAGCATCAAGGCATTTGATCAAGTTGTTTCATGACATCCCTGATCCAAGATAGTTTACTTGCAACAGTTGCGTATACTGCATTACCTTTACCCTCGCCACAAATCGGACCAAGTATTGTTCCCCGTGTAACTTTGCTGGCTACTCCGTAAAGATACCATTGATTATCAACTTGACAAACTAATGGTCCACCAGAGTCACCACTACAAACTCCTGTGCCTCCTCCTCCAGCTCTTACACAAACTTGACCTTTTCCTTCTAAATCGACTTCACCAGCTTCATTTATGGCATCAGCACATTCTTTCAAATCTACTATTTCGACTGGAAGTTGCTTAAGAATTCCACTATTTCCAGTTCCATGAGTTGAGCCCCAACCAGTAACGTAACATTTAGTCCCAGTCTTTAGTGGTTTTAACGAATCGGCTAAACAAACAGGATTTACTCCATCCGATATGCTGATTGGAACTTTTAGTTTTATCAGCGAAATATCGTTGATAAAATCAAATGCTGGAGGTGTAGCATTGTAAGTTACTATGGAATCAACCAAACGAATTTGTTCGAAGTTATCCTTCTTGAATGAATTATGATTGCCCAGTACCACTCTCACTAACTCAGGTTTAGGATATCTGAAAGAAAGTATTTAAAGAATATATGAATGAAAATATTTAAAATGGAAAAGCTCATGAAATTAAAATTATTACGCAGCAATGCAATGACCAGCAGTTAACACATATTGTGGATGAATCAAAGCACCACCACAAAAATGTCCAGATGGCCACATAATTGAAAGTTGTAAATCTGCTTGCCATGGCCAGCTTCCTGGAATAACTGGATCACCTCCAAGGATTCTGAAAGTGTATCCACTTGTATCAGGATTTATCTTTGTATTTCCACAGGTATACTCGGCAGTTGTTTTTTTGGGACATTTTAACTCATCTGACCCATCATCACAATCAAATTTACCATTACAGATGGTCGAAAGAGGTACACAGTTTCCAAGACTACACTGAAATTCATTTGGTTTGCATAGGTTAACCTTTTTCTGAGTTGACCATGAAATATGGAAACCTCGTCCTGAGAAAATATAGTCACTTATAAACTCGATTGAAAGTAGAGGAAAGCCTGAAATTAAGAAATCATGAGGTTTCTGTGTCCCACATATTCGTTTAACTGTAACCCTCTCATTGTTTGATAGCACATTAAAAGTCAAGCTATCACCTTCACAGCTAATCGCCTCGTCCAAATCCAGATCCACAATCTTGATTCTTAGATACTAAAAGTCAAATGAATTTTTATAATTAGTTAAATGGTTTAACTCAAGTTTGAACAAAGGAATCATTGGTTGTAAAACTACAAATTTCAATAGCAGTCGACATCATAAAAAAGCAGAAAACAAACTTACTTCACTCGTAGGGACGAGAATAGTCCATTTACAATCAAGATCTTCTGGATATGATGAGTTGGAGAGATAACCAGGACTGTAGATATTTCCTGTGGGCTCTGTAAATATGTAGGAAGCTTTTTTATTACATATTGAATCTGGAGCTGGTGAACAATTAGATAAATAAGAATTAAACAAAATTAACGCCGCGAAAATGTGGAAATTCATTGTGAATGCAGTTCAAAGAATAGCATCTAAAACAATGTTCGAGTAAATATATATCTAATAAAAGGTGATTATAATTGCTCCCGGAATTTCGCTCATGAGATTGTGTATGAAATCCGTAACTTACATTGCAAAAGATTGATAACATTGTTATAATCTCCTTCCTAACAAGGGAAAGATCGCTAAAATGTTCTGTTAACTTATAATCCAGTCATCATATGATAAAACAATAGTTTTCAGTTAGTCAGGTCACTATATCAAAGTTTCAAGTGAGCTTACATCATTATTACACCAATTAATCCATTTAGTTAATGCCAACATTCACCATGTAAGAAAAAACTTCATTATTTTCGAGGTAAAAACAAAAAGATTGTATCAAAAAATGGTTACAAAGAGTACATCTGCTTTTGTTATAGATGAGATATCAATGTCAAAAAGATAACATCTCTCTTCTTGAAGAAACAATAAGAGATCAATACAAGAAAAGCGTTAAAATTGAGTCAGTGGATCAAGTTATCAGTTATGATTACTTTGCTCTTGAAGATTAAATGATGAAAATAAACTCTTTATTTTGAGGACCATATTTTGGGTATTTCAGGCTCTTCTGATATTTTTCAGTCTTATCGTCAGTTTCGGACTATTTTTTATCGATATTAAATAGTTGTTGTTTGGTTTTATCAAAATATCTAAACTGACAAAATTGAGGCATTTATTTAATTTTAAACCAGTAAAATCAATAAGGCGCCATCTCGAATGTTGCGAGATAATTATGATTTTAAATGTTGGCTGTGAATTAAAAGTTAAAAATTAGATGATGGCAGCGATTATTTTTTGGACAGTTTCTGGCCGGAGCTTATCTCAATCTGACAGTAATGAGATGGAATAATCATGGTCAAGATAATTAAAATGTCTTCTGCTGATTAAAATTAGTTTTTGTCATTAATTAGGATTATTTCAGGAAATAAAAAATTTTACCGGCTAGCCAGCCGAAACAGCGAAATTTAAATTAGTCAGCTGAGTCATTGCGAGCTGCTAATTTTTTTCACAGTCAGTCAGACGTTGGTTTCTCGACTGACCTCGGTATCACAAATTATTATCTTTCAATTGCATCTTCTAATTATCTTCACATATAGCCTAAAGTTGATTGTTGCTGTGTGCAGTTAGCCAATTGGGTTGCTTCAAAACCGTGATTAAACAGTTATCTTAAAGAAGTCAGTTTGTCTTGTGAGACTGATTCAAATCCTTTCTTGTGTTTGTATGTATTAGTGTCCTGCTATTTATAATATAAGTTTACTTTAAGTTCTTTGTTCTAGTGATTAAATTTGGTAAATCGTTTTATTACAAGGTAATTATTGATCTTCAATGTTAAATTAAACTTGCCAAATACCGACAGTAATGTAATCTAATGAAATTTAATCTAATGTCTAATGTAACCGCTTATGTGTCTATAACCGCTCATATGCTTTTCAACTCGTCTGACTCATTGAATTTTTCTGTTTTTTCATCATTTATTTTAGATGACCAAGAAAAAGCGAGGAAATTCTGGCAAGAAAGGCCGCAAACCTAAAGAAGTTGAAGAATATATTGTTGAAGAAATCGTTGACCGGCGACTTAATGAAGAAGGAGTTGTTGAATATAAAGTCAGGTGGAAAGGTTACTCTTCAGAGGACGATACTTGGGAACCTGCTGAAAATTGTCAGTGCCATGAATTGATTGAAGAGTTTGAGAAGAATCGTTCTCGTATTGATGAGGATGATGGCCAGGAAACTACTGATGTAGATGATGAGAATGAAAATGACAACAGAAAACGTAGTCGTTTGGCACCAGATGAAGATAAAACTACCAAATCTACTTCACGTAGAAATGGACGTTCTACTGCGGCCCGTAACTACAAAGATGATACTTCTGAGGATGAGGAAAAGGATGTTGCCAAGGATTCTTCAATGGAATTGGATAGATCTATAGCTAACAAAGATATTACAGTTGACGATTCAGATGATAGTCTGGATTTTTCAAGTAAATATTTTAATAAGGAAAATGATGCCTCCAAAATTCAACCCGAGTTCGAGATAGAAGAAGATGATGAAGATGATAGGAAGCTCAAGAAAAAAGATTCTCCCAGTGATATGTTTGACGAAATAATGCGCAAAACTAATTCTTCAAATTCAACATCTAATAAAAACGAGTTGATCGCTGAAAAAATACTATCAGCCGGTATCCTGAAAGATGGCGCAATTCATTTCATTGTCAAGTTGGAAGGTGTAACTGAACCGCAAAAATATGTTGCTGAAGATGCTTACAGACTTTTCCCTCAGCAAGTTATTTCTTACTATCAGAGTAGAGTTCGATGGAGGTAAATAAATACTTGACCCAGGTACAATGATCTTTTCAAATTTTCACTTTATTTTCAGTTTTCCAATTGCAACTGTCACTTGTTTGCAAAATTTATAGTTTTAATCATTCTTTTAAGCAAATGCTTACTTCAACATATTTTCTTCTGACTTTGCTAACTCACAGCATTTTCACAACAATTTTCAGTATTTGTACCGCTAAATAAAGAGTTATCTTCAAGAATTCGTTAATATTCTGTGTATTATTTATGAGGCCAGATCAAAAGGCTCTTACACGTAAGATGTAACATTGGAAAGGGATATGTAAAGAATCATCTTAAATGTTGATTAAACAATTGATTGCAATAAAATGGACACGCTTTCTTTATAAATATGAGATGACCATTTTAATCTTTAATTGTTTGGCAAACACTCAGATAAGATAATTATTTCACTCACCTCCTCCAAATATTACTTATAGAGAATGCACGAAAGTTGAAACTTGAGAAATTATGATTACGCGAACATATTTAATGGATCGACTTAAATTAAACACAAAATTGATTAAAGTTTCATGCATTTAATCAGCTACGGTTCGTTTCAAAATATCAAAATACTAATAATATGCTAGAACATCACCCACGGGGTCCAAGTAATAACTGTAAAAATGAAAAGATTGGAAAGTGGAGTTATAGCTATGATAATATTGATGATGTTTTAGACATTTTACCTGTCTTTGTAGTTCTTTTTCAATGGTAGATCTTTCTATTTCTACCCAAATTGGTCCAAACAGCACAATGCTTGATGTAAATGTAACCCAAACTGAATTACGACTAAATTGATATCCAGCTTTAACTGCTCTAATTGTACCATCGACGACAGAATAAGATGCATTCCGTACACAATCGGGAAACATTTCGGTCAAACCATAAAGTCTTTCCAAGACAGTTTCATCAATGTCCTAAAAGTGAAAGGAAAATTTATTAGTAAAACAAGGTTGAGTTTATCCAGACATGGTAAATATCGATTAAATAAACACAGGTCATTATTCTTACATCGTCTTCGATTGCACTCATCATTGATAATAATATATTAGTGGTGTTTCCACAACAAGAGAAAAGCCAATTTATAAATTACAATAATCAAAAAAAACAAGGCGAGAATGTTTAAATGGAAATGTTTCGCAAATGATGGTCAGACTCTGTGAGTCGACTTGAAGCCATGTGGCTGAGTGGTTTTTGGTACCACCCCCCTGTAGCCGTGGCAATCATCATCTCTTTTTTATTTATATTACAGTCACCATTGAGAAACTGCACTTAATTTTTTCAATGGTCCCTATTAAGGAGGAGTTTTATCTACTTTTGAATTTGGTCGATTTTTGATTCAATTTCTTTAATTATCAATTGACTTAATTCAACTTTCTTTCGTGAAATTTTAATAAAAAAACTCGCCAAATCAGATTAAAACAAAGTTTGAGGCTGAATTCGATCTAATAAGGAAGATTGAAAATCATGAATTTCACTGCCCGATGAATAGTGTAAATAAGCTATTTCTAGCGAGGTGCAGTTTCTCAATGGTGACTGTAAATTGTTTTATGTTGTGGTTGGTACAGTACGTTTTAGGTTATTATATGTTTTATGTATGGGTTGTAATGGTTGGCAATACATGTTTTGAGTTGGGTGGAATATGGGGTTAGTTAATATTGGGTTCATATTTCATTGCTATTCTGAGTGATTAATTCATATGCACAGTTCCAATCGTTCACCAGGGTTATTGCAGTTAGTAGGTTTTCAAATTCCTTATTTGAAATGTTATCAGCGTCGATTTTGGTAGTGTTCCATTTTGTCAGTTGATTTAACCATTTTTTTGTTGATTCACATTGGATCAGTAGTTTTTTATAAATGTTTTTTGAGGGATGAATGTCGTGACAGCAGTCTATTTTAGATGAAATATAGTATGCTATTTGGGCTATCTTTATTAGTCTGAATATTTTTTTTGCTGATGCTGTAGGATATAGGGAGGGCCAAATTGAATCCATTTCTTTCCAGGTTTCCAGGTGGATGTTGTTAGATAGCTCCTCAATGAATCTGGATGCATTTAACAGGTTCCAATATTGTGAGAGTATGATCCATGATGATGGTTTTGAATGTGTATCCAATTTTTCTGAATAGTGACACCAGGTCCATGGTGTCTGTTTATGTTTATGTAGAATTATGTATAAGCCTCTGATGAATTTTGAGTCGCCTTGGAACCATTTCGTCATCTCCTCTGTCAGCATTATAGTAAATGGATGTGAATAGACTTTGATGATGTATTCCAAGGTTGCTAATTGTGATTCTTGGATGGATTTTGATTCTGGGGCTATAAAACCATATACATTTAATATTTCTTTTCCTTTACGTTCTATTATAATGGTTCTCACTTTAGAAATACTTTTCATTGTCAGCATATGTTCCCATGTGCCATATAATCTTCTCTCATCCATTCCTGTCCTCATGGATGGCCAATAGTCGGGTATTGGAGGTTTGTCCGTTGTCTCATAGTTTGATGCGTTGATATGAAGTACAGTTTTCAATTTGGTGATAATTGTATTGATTGAATAGCTTGCATATAGTTTCAGTGAACTCTGATATTTGTTTATTGTGAGTATTTGTTTAGTTGCTTTGCCGAAATTTGTGATCATGGCTGAAATTCTTCGTTTGATGTCTGTTGTTGAGGCCATTGTCAGTATAAAGAACTCCCTTTTTGCTAATTTTGGGAATATCACATTCCTTGGTAACAGTCTCGATCTGAGGACAGAGGAGGGGCTTTCACACCTGTTTCAAAGACATTTAAATTATTATCCAATAGCTGATGTTTTTTTGAATGCTGAGGATAGAATGGTGTTACACAAATTAAAATTCAATTCAATTCATTGTTAAATTAAATGTAAAATATAATAAAACACAAAAAATAAAACCAAAAACAGATGAGTTGAGAGTACGTGTATTGCCTGGTTAGCCGATATCGTCTGACTTATTGTTTCCTTTCCTTTAGTTTGATTTGATTAGTATGAATTCAAATTTTTAGTTTTTCAATACTTTAAAACTGAGAAATTTTGTTCCTAAGTTCGAACAATTAAATGAGGAACATCCAGGAGTCAATTTTGCTAAACATTTTAATTTAATTCCACGGTTAATGAACAGTAGACTAAACTAAAAATATTCTGTGTACTTGATTATGTTTTCAATTCAATGCCATTGGTTAAAAAAAGTGTGAAATATAAAACATATGTAAAAGCCCAACCTTTGTCCTCAGATCGAGACTGTTACCCATTCCTTAGTATGATTTTGGTATATTTGTGAGGGATATGTTTAAGTAGTGTCCATTGAACTTTTAGTTTAGTATCCAAAATCATTTCAAGTTCTTTATTAAATAAATCATCGTATCGTGATTTATTAAAATGATTGCCATACGAAAAGATGTGTTCACCTAAGATCCACCATCCTTCTTTTTTTATAGTTTGAATTGGAGTTATTTTTGTCTTTTGAGTGTTGACCGTTAGTGAGATTTCTTTCATGACTATATTTATACAGTTCATTACTTCTGTTACATAATTCTTTTGGGAATGTCTGAGAATTACCACCATATCATCGGCGTATGACCATATTTCGATGTCCAGTGTTCTTAGTTTCTTGAGTGCTTCGTCTAATGAGATAATAAATAACAATGGGCCTGTAGATGTCCCTTGTGGAACCCCTTTAGTTTCTTGTTTGTATGCACGTAGTTCTTTGGAATCATATATTACGTATCTAGATTGAACTGCTGAATGTATTAGGTCTGAGGTGGATCGGTCCATTGTTTTTCGGATTTTTCTAAGGGCAATGTTTGAGTCGACCTCATCAAAAGCTTTAGATATGTCTATTTGGATAATTATTGCCATCTCCACGTAAGCTTGGCTTTTGAGTATGGTATAAATCATATGTTCCTTGCTTTTGTTAGGTAGAAACGCAAATTGAAGGTTCACATCTATTAGGGATTCAATGTGTTGAAGAAGTCTGTCCTTAAGAATTTGATCGATGATTTTGAATAGAAAGTTTGGTGTTTTAACCATTCTTACTTCCAAACTATTGGCTTTTGGTACAAAACCACATCCGAGTACTGTAACCATTTGAGGAATGTGGGAAAATTGGAAGATATTTTCGATCACCGAAATAATTTGTCTTTTGTTGATAGAAAAAAATTTTTGCCAATTTTTGATGGTGAAATTGTCGGCTGACATACTTGAAGTTTTGAATTTCATCTTTTTTATGGAGTTAATTTCTGCAATTGTTAATTCGCCTGGAGTGTTGTTTGGAGAATCTTTGAAGATCGGTTTTTGTTTTGAGAATTCACTTAACCATTTTTCTTTTGATTGTTGGGTTATCAAGTTCGTCCAGTCAATCTGAGGAGGATCTTGAATTAGGTATTTATTAACATAGGTCCAGAAATTGTTGTCATTGATTGAAGTGAAGGAATGGGTAGATTGTTTAGGTTTTTTAGATTTACGGTTTGGCTTTCGTTTCGTAAATTGTCTGGAGCTCCATATGCCATTATTTTCAGGGAAGAAAATGATTGAAGCGCAGCGTTTGATTATCTGGTCATCCTTTTTCCATATTGATTTCTTTTTTTGTTCTTCAGTTGATTGTTTCAGTTTCCAGTTGTTTATGATGAGTCGTCGACGGGGCGGTTGAGTAATTCTATTGTTAAATGTTATGTTGGCGAATATTGCTCTATGATCAGATCCCATTAATGGAACAGTTCCATGACCATGAATCGTTACTTCCCGACTTGCTAATATCAGATCAATGGTGCGGTTACTTCTCAGATAGGTTGGAGCTCCGTCGCTTACCAGGATTAGGTTGTTATCTGATATTAATTTCTTTATTGTGTTTACAATCAATGAGTCGTCTTGAGTTCCTCTTCCTGGTGTTGACCATAGTGAATCACTTGAATTAAAATCTCCCATTATGATGAAGCAAGTGTCTTTACGATTCAGAATAATTTGTTGTAAAGTTGTTAGTATTAGTATTGCATTTTTTATATTGTTTCTTTCATGCATCCATGTTGGTCTCAGGTATAAGGATACGATAATGATAGGTCTGTTTTTGAGTTTAATCATGGTAAGATCCGGAGTTTGATGATGGATTCTAGTCACTTTTAGATCTGGAGAAATAACTAACATCGCGCCATTGTTAATAAACACGTTCGGTTTTAATATTGATGGTACCAAAGCAGCATTGTTGGGTTCATTGATGGAAACACAGAAATTTCGACGACGGTTGACAATGTTGACCAATTTTTGTCGCGCATTGTCGCGTCAATGTGATTGCCTGTGTCAGTGGTAATCAAGAATGTGTCAATGACATTGCTTCTTCTGAAGTTTTAGTTTACCTTTTATTGGTTTTACATGCAGCTCCTTCAGCTGATGCTGTCACTCGACAAACAACCGTTTTAGAAACTATGTTACCTTTAATGACCAACAGTAAATTGGTCAGAGAGTCAATGGTTAAAGGAGGTGTTCTCTATCTGTTGGATATTTTCTGTAATTCAAGTGATCATAAGATTCGTGAGAAAAGTGCTGAGCTTTTAGCTAAAATGACCATCGATAAGTTGAATGGACCAAAAATACGTTTAATTTTGTGCAAATTTTTACCAGTTTCATTTATTGAATCAATGAAAGAGTCACCTCAAGAAGCGGTCAACCTGTTTGACCGAAATCAGGAAAACCCTGAACTCATATGGGCTGATGAAGCTCGGACCAAGGTATCATCAACAATTCGTACAATGTCTCAAAGTTTATATTCCAGTCAATTAGAGAATCCAGCCACTAATTGGAAGCTTGATGATGATTTTGAAATTAAAATACCCATAGCTGCCGATGAAATGGTTGTTGCTGGCGTTTTCTTGCGGCTCTTTGTTCTTAATCCCTCCTGGACACCTCAACGTCTCAAACAATTTTTAACCGAACTTATGGACACTGTACAATCTCTTATGTCAAAGTCACAGATTGATGTAAGTAAATCTTTTGATCTAATTGCCAAGTCATTAATTAATAGCTAACAGATAAGGTTTTTGATGAATTTTGCGATTAATTTAATAAATTTGCTTGCATTTTGTATGTTTATCACATTTTCAATCAGTAATTCACTTTTTAATTGCATGTTACCATTTACTTGATAGCTTTTTAGGATAGTTAGTTTCAAAAATATAATTAAAAATTGAGTAGATTGCTGGAAATGTTCTGAATGAAAGTTTTCAAGTCAAATTTAAGGCTGATTTTTTTATTATTTATGACTTTTAAACAGGAAATTAATTGATTTACTTTTTTTATTTATTACACCTTCTATTTGCGTATTAGCAATATGAATGGTGATTCTTTGTGAAACTTGATCAAGATAAAATTTAAGACTTTAGTCATCAAAAGTGTCTAATCTGCTAACCCAATGACCTATTAATTAAATCTACTCTCACTTACAATATTTGTAATATTTAGTTTATTATTTAAATTTGATCATCTAATTGTTTCTTTTTCATATCATGTTTTAGGAAACGAAACTTGAGCTTTCAACAAAAGCTCTTGTAAGCCTTTTGCAGGCTAGACCTCCACTTCTGGACATGATTCCACCAATGGGTTATATTAAAGGATTGATTGATCAACTTTCCAACAGCAAACACTCGTTGGTTCCACATTCAGCTTTATCTGTTCTTCACCAGTTATCTTATAATAAACCTTGTGTTGAGTCAATGATTCAATATGATTATATACTCTCCCAAATGATTAAAGCTATATCCAGTGATACAACCTTAGCAGCCTTAGGATGCCAAACATTGAATAACATGTTCGTTGCCGATGCTAATGATAAATTGGTTCCTATTGCTCTTCAAGTTAAACTGATTGATTTCTTATTGAAACTGCTCGACTCCGGCCAATCCACATACGATTCAAGCACGAAAGCAATCATAGTTCAACTATTAAAATCAATGCTTCAAAGTCAGGCTTATGGAGAGCAAGTCGGTAACATTTTGGACAAAAATTTTAGGCTTCAACGATTAAGATCAAGATAAATATTATGTTTGAACATGAACGTACATGAATTAAGACATGAACAAAATCTGCTCAACCGGCTGAAAATCGAGAATATAGATAGTATCGGTGTTCAATGTTTGGCTGAGCTGAGTGACATTGGAGAAGAAAGCTCACATATAATTTCTCTACAAGGAAAACAATCGATTAATTACAGTGGAGTACCAGATAGTGTCAGTACCAGATAATGTCAGTAGATTATTCAATAGCCCCTCAAACCCTTTGTTTACATTCCCTATAAGGAAAGTTTTAATTGAAATTATAAAGAAATTATCAAAAAAGTTGAATATTTCTGAAAATTCAACTCAACTAACGATCCTCAGCACAATGACATTAATTTGTTAGACTTTTCCAGCAACTAACTTTAATTTTATTATTCATTGTAATTAATTTTAAAATTTAGCTCGATTAATAGACTTGCTGTGCATATAAGCTATTTCCAGTTACTGACAGTATCTGGTACTCCACTGTATTTTATTTTCTAGCAATTAATTTCCATTCATTTGTTCTAAAGTCCATTCAAAAGTCAAAAATTTTGACTCAACATGGTTAATCGATATTCATCGATACATCGAATAGTCTTTTTATCGTAAGGCAAAAGATATGATAGATATCTGAAAAAATATCAAATACTTGGATGAAAAGTTGAATGGTGGTAAAGTAACTAGTTATTTATATTTTGTGTTTTCAGTTCAGACCAATTTAAATGGTAGCTGAATAAATTTGAGTGTGTCAAAGTCAGGAGTTAATCCAGAACCAGTCTTACTCTTTTAATTAATGTGTTTTAGTAACTAAAAGCCTCATAATGGGTGACGATAAACAAATGGGTCGCAATGCAGCCAACTCTTCGAAATCTATTCCACCTCCGCCACCACCACCACCTCCACCTCCACCGCCTTCGGATAGCTCATGGAAATCTGTTCCTCCGCTTGTTGCAGGACTTTCCAGTGTCTCACTTAAACCTACGCCAACTCAAACGAAAAACGGTGTTTCCAATGATTCAGGTGGTCCATTCAGATTACCACCAGCCTCAACTCTACCCAAAAAAATTGGTAACAAAACATCGTCATCAAATTCAAAATCTTTTGTTCACACTGGTGGCAATAAAACAAATTCTAGAACTTCTGAATCTTCTAATGTTTCTCAGAGACCCGCTCCACCTCCGAAACACTACACAGTGGCTGATGAATTAGCTGATCGTCTACAATCCAGATTTGGATCCAACTCTACTTTACCTAACCGTTTCGGGAACAAGTCAACACAACAAAGTACACAATCGTCTTTAGGAGCTAGTGGTGCTAATAGTAAAACTCAATCTAGTTCTCCTCGACCCTCAGCTTGTCCACCTCCACCACCGCAACTTCTCTCTGGTAACTCAGCAAAACCTGTACCACCACCACCACCTTCAAATAACTCTATGAAACCTACTCCACCTCCTAAAAATAATAGTGTCTCTAATGATGCAAATAGTCTTCCACATAAATTACATTCTACTTCAACTGTACCAAACCGATTTAACAACAGAACATCGTCACAAAATCAACCTCCTTTTGGATCTAGTGGTATCAACAATAAAAATCAATCTAGTTCATCAAGGCCCTCAGCCTGTCCTCCTCCACCTCCTCCACCACCGTCTTTTCCACCATCTGTCGGCCTCCCCAACTCCAACTCTTCAAAATCTGTTCCACCGCCGCCACCATCACCTTCAGGACTTTCCACTGGTTCTATGAGACCAATCCCACCTCCTAAGAACAACTCTTCGAATGATTCAAATAGTCGTCCTTATAAGTTACCTACTGCTACAGGTACATCTAATCGATTCGAAAATAAAACCTCTCAGAGTCAATCAACATTAGGGACTAACAATAGACTACAAGCAAATTCATCTAGACCCGCAGCCTGCCCGCCTCCTTCACCACCAAAACGAGGTCCATCTTCATCTGCCAGTAGCCTTTCTAGTGGTATTTCTTCAGCATCATCAACATCTATTAATGGATTTTCAAGCCATGGGGCTTCTGCACCAATTCCTCCTCCTCCACCTCCCAGTCAAACCAGAATGCAAAGTCGTAAAGGGTCTTTCAATTCCAGTATTGGCCAGGCTCCTGCACCACCGGTCAGAAATACATCAATCTCCAAGAGTGAGTTCAGATTCCTTTTTTAGCTTTGATCTTTATTATGAAATCTCTCAAAAGGATACAAAAAAAGATATCATTCAATAAATACTATGAACCTGTCATTCTGGACTTATTAGGGTTTCTTTTTCATTTTCAGGCTTGCTCCTCCCTTTATCAATGAGAATCTCATCTTTTTCTCTTTCTCTTATTCCTCTCTTCTTTCATTAAAAGCTATTACGCTCTATCAATGATATAATCGTAATTTTTATGAGATTTAACATCTAGATTTCTCATCGATTTCGCCTTGTTTAGGCAACTATAATCCAAATACTTGATAGATTCTATAACATCTCTTTGTTTTTATGTTTAATTGAGGCAATTTCCATTGCATATTAATGTGAATGAATAATTTCTCCAGAAACTTAACAATGCTTTCAAATATTTAATTCATTATTATTTGCATGATATCATTTTTCAATAGATGACTTGGAGTCCCGATTCCGTCATATTTTCAAAGATCTTCACACCTTACCAGCACCGGAGCTATTCCTTAGTACGAAAAAGCAATATCCAAGTGAAAGTAAGTTTATAACTAAATGAAAACATTTACTTTTGGTTACATGTTTAAATTAATTAACTCTCTTTCCTTCTATCGATCATCTAAACTTGTTGAGTATTCAGCAAATCATGCTAGAAAATTGTCATTTTTGCACCTTTTTTATATTCAACAAATGAACGATAAAAAATTCTTCGTTCAACAAAAAATTGACAAATAAATAGCAGGTCGAAAGTGCACAACTGGTATAATTGATTTGCTACGATTTTTTGAACAAACACGGCTATTAAACTTCATGTATTTTTAATATTAATGTTTAATGGCTTATAATTTCTTCCTTTCTCTATCCTTGTTGTCAAATCAATAATCATCAGTAGATAGATATTTATTCATTCATTTATTTATGTTCATCTTACATGTACGTAACCATGACAAGTTGGTGTGATCATAACAATTAACTCTATCACCCTTGATGAAATAGTTGATGAGTGACACTTTCAAAACCTGTTCAGAACGACAACTTTAGCTCATTGTTTACAATCCTTTTTGTGAATTTTTTCAATTAGAATATTTAACCTCATCTTTACCAAAAGGATAACAATTTCAAGTTAAACTACAGTTAGCCATTCATTGTAATATCAATGCTCATTAATCATAATAGTCCATTATTTTTACCTTTGCATCAATCATTAGCCAATCATAAACAATGATTTATCCATCTATTGATTTTGACAGATTTTTAAAATTCAATCATCACTTTAGATACAATGTTGGTTTATGAACAACGAGCAATATGACTTAATGTTTCTTTTTTATTTAGATTTTACTCTTATCAGTTTGAGGCAGTCAAATCATGAGCTCGATGACTTTAAAAAAATCGATAGACTCAATGTCAACCTTTATTTGTTTGATCAAGTAAAACTGACAAATTAATAAAGGAAAAAATAATTTACCATTAAATAACCCTTTTTCACATTTGAAAATTAGTAACGGAATATGTGCCGCTATGCTTAACGCTTATTTCTATCAACAATTGATTACATTTAATGATTTTACTGCTAATTTACTCATTTTTCTTTTCATTTTTTCTCTTTCTTTACCTTGATTCAGGAAAACCTCGAGGCCCAGCTCCACCCATACCATCCTCATCAACATCAAGTTTAAATATGAGCCAAAATGATTACAATGATGCAAATAAATATAACTCAACGCCGATGATTCATGTTCAACTGGAACATCAAGGTTTAGGCTCTAATTATCCTAGATTCTGAGCGATAATATATTTTAAGTAAAGGTAAAGCAATTTTCAACAATTGATTCTTGCATCTTTTCACTAATACTCATCTTTTTCTCATTGCTTCACAGCTTACTCTTGTCTTCTTATTTGGACTATAAAAATTATAATATTCTGCCAAGTGTCACCGGAAGGAGTTAACTAATTACCTGTTTTTTTCTGCGTTGGCTGAATGACATCGGATGTTAAATACACTTTTTCATTACTCAAAAGGAGACTGCTCAACTGTTAACTTTTTTTACCAAATCCAGATCGGCTAAGCCGAATGAAAAATCTACAGTAGCTCACTCCATGTTAACTCATTATCTATTTTCACTGGATCAAGTTTAAATAGCTGCTTATAGTTTCATCTTTGAGAGGAAAGTGTATAAAAATGTAGATGACTAGTGTCTATGAAGTGCCTTTTTTGATTAATTTTCGTGATTCATCCAATTTGATGAAGAGTAAAATGGAATATCAGAGTTGTTGAATAATTGTTAACTATTGGCGTTTTTCAACTCTCAATTTCCAATCTCGATCTCTTCTGTTATAATCGTTAAATTTTACAAAATAGATGCTATTAACTCTTTTGAAAATTGGATAAATCACCTTTTGGCTTGAGATAATTATTAATTATTTTAGAGAAAGTGCTTTCTCACCTTCAAAAAAGTCAGTCTTCGTTAGCCTTGACACATCAAAAAAATTAATATTTAAAACCGACTCTCTTGTCGCTGATTTAACTTATTCAGATCACTAAGATTTATGATTTAATCATGATATAATTTTTCTCCCTCATCTTTTGTTTACCCACACTGATTTCCTTGTTGTTTATATAAATGTATTGAAATATTCCAAACTGAGTTTTCTATTTCAGATTTTTCGTGTAAAATTCTGATGGAAACCGTTGAGGTTTATTGAGCTTTAAAAAGGGCTAAAGATGAAGCAAAACAATAACCATTTCCTAGTTTAAAAAATATACTCCCTCCAAAAAGCGAGTAAAATCGGACTTATTTGTGATTTAATGTTGAACTAAATGCCAATAAATTAATGATAAATAAACACTGAAATTAATGTTTCCCTCTGTCGGTAACTTTCAAGTTTATCTGAGATTTTTAAATTCAGAAAAGTCTCATCTGAAAGAGATTCAGAGCTGATTAACCAATTTAATCTCAGTGAGAATCATTCCAGATCATCTAATGAAGATTAATCTTGGGAAAATTTGAATTGCCTTAATTTCAACTTTAAATAATCAAGATCAGATTACAAGTTTTTAACTCGGTTAGGAATTGAGTTGTTACAAAATTTAATTGCAATTATGAGAAAGAAATAATCATGTTAAATGTTTATTTTTTACAATTTGATTGTTTAACTCACATGAGGCTGTAAAGGTTATCATGAGTAAAAAATGTTTATTGAAACAAAAAAGTGATTCAAGATGATATAAAATTAATATGTAATTTGCCCGTTTAACAGGCTCAAATTTATAGCCGATAGGCTGATTGTTTGATGATTATCGTTGATGGACAACAAAAATATGGATAAAAAAGATTAATATTGGCTGATATCGATAAATGGAATCACTGGTTATGTCGCGATCATCTCCTTTGGTACATTAATTTTCTCATCTTCGCCATCGGCTGAGCAAACTGGATTTATCGCACCATTCGAACCATTATTAGTTGATTCCACCAATGATTGGCCAACTTCACGGAGAACCTGAACATCAAAGTAAAAGGAAATTGAAATGAATAATGAAACAAATGACGAATCAATTGAGATCAACAGGGATGTGTCAAAATATAATCTACTCTGGTTAAACCTTTCATCAACAGTCACTTGATAAAATTACACAAATTGCTTAGCTCAGTGGAAATAAGCTATTGATTCAAGTTGCTGTTATATTGTTATGAATTTAACCAAAAATAGTGTTTAACTGAATGTATTTCATTGAAATTATCTCATCGATTTTGGGCATCAATTATGAGGTGATTTTTAAAGGTTGACGATGAGAAGAGGCAAATGGGTAGCAAATGTTAAATGAGTTAAGTTGATTATTCTTTAAACTACTGAATTATATTTTTACCGGCGGGCGTGAGAAAATTGCTATTCTTGAGTAAATTTAGGGTTAAAATTACAATTTTCAGTATCTTTTAATATTCGGCTAAATAACGATGTCTTTTTGATGGTTTAGGTGGTGAAGGCTCAAAAAAATGGTCAAGTTTGTCTCATTTGATGTTTCATGGTTTTAAACTCAAAACATTGTTATTTTAAATGTAATGTTAACATTGGAAGCGTCCAAATCAAATTGACTCTAATTACTGTTCAACTCATTCACATCATGGTCCACTCAATTAATGTATTTAGGTGATATTTGGCTTACTTATTTTGGTTAATGGTGAAAAAAATTAATGTTAATCATGGTCAGAATAAATTTCTTGAAAGTTGACATTTAAATGAACGATAAATGAGGAGCTTTAGAGCAAAATGATTTAACCATAAACACAACCAATGATTAGGCCTTGAGTTGATTAAATGAAGATTAATAAACTCAAGTTTATGTGATAAAAATGGTAATAACAAGTCGCATGATTTACACTTGTGATGTGAAATGAGACTAAATTGAGCAAATGATGTTTAAAGAAGCAGAATTGGCTTCCAATGTTAACTCAATTTACTTATAATTATTGGGTATAAATTGCTAATATTACCAATCATTTGATCAACCGATCTAATTTAAAATACTTGTATTAAAAAAGGTGTGTTTCTGTTTTTATATGGTTAGGTAATTTTGACTAAATGATTGTAATCAAAATTTTGATTGTTTTTCAAAAATTAAGTTGCTTTCATTATTTATAAAATGTATACATTTGGTTAAGCATTGATTGGTAGCAGATTTGGCAATTTTAGCTAAATAGATCCAATGATTGTTATTAATTGTATCATTTGCTAGCTAATGTTGATTATTTTATGTTAAGAGCAATAGTTGTGATACTAAATTGATCAATAAATCATGAATAAACAATCATTTTGACCCAATTTTGTCTTCATTTGTCCTTCTTGATATTTAGTTACAAAATGAGAAAAGCTGTAACCAAAGTTGACTATTGAAACAATTGGAATCAATTGAGATACAATTTGAAGGAATATAACAGAATAATGGTTAAACAGTAATCGGGTTAAATTACTTAATGTATTGCTGTGATTGTACAATTGTCTAAGGTGAAAATGAAAACGGAAAATAGGTAATTCTAATGTTATTTTGTTTGTTTCACCAGCAAACCTGGATAAAGATTAATTTAAATTTCCTGTTGAGTTGAATATTATCATTATTATTGTTTGTTTTCATGTTTACAATCAAATTGACAGGATGTTTGGGTGGATTTGATGTATCTTTTATCATCATCAACAAATTTCAACTTTTAACCCACGAATCACGCGATAATCATCTCTGACGAAGGTCATAATCAACAATTCCGGGCTTGGTTCATTCAATACTTTTTCATATTTCAACAGTGTAACTGTTTCTTCAAGGTTCGCGGCAAACCTTAGTGTCATCATCATAATCATCTAAGTCATGACAATAACAGTGAAGCTGAATTAGATAGATTGTCAACAGTTAGAAAAAACATTCAAATAAATTAGGAAGAGTTGATTGATTGACCTTTTCACTATGGACTTACTTGTCAGTCATTGTTTTCAATAGAAAGTGAAATCATCTTTTTAGTCATTTCAACTGTAACGTATTAAATGATAGTAAGTTTGAGTGTTTTATAAGGTAGCGAATAAAACTCATGATTTCTGAGAAATAAATCTTAGATCGAGCGCTAAGGGAATGAATATAAGGTGAATATATGTTGAGAAAATAAATATCCAAGCTCAAGTTTCAGCAAATTACACTGTACATAACATTAATTATGCTCTTAAAAAGGGAAAGTTTCATTTGAATATGATGGGATCACGGTTTGATAATTAGTGTAGCTAAACAGGTTGGAAGCTCATGACAGTGAAACTCTGAACGGCGGTGAAAGTAAAACACGTAATCTATTGATTGAGTTGACAATGGACTATTTGATTTAGTTTAGACTTACCTTCATTTGTTGCTCCAATTCCTCAAGTGATTCTTGAATCCAATTACTTTCAACGTTACACAAATATTTAATTGCAATTGCAAGATGAGAAACGGATAAGACAACCGCAAAACAACGAGCCTCAAGAAGACGAGCGTCACCATTGTACATTGATTGGACAACATCATCCACTCTTGGACTTATCTTTTGAGCGATTCGTATAATTTCCCAGAGTTTTCTCTGTTGGTCATCTTGATGATAAGTGTTGAGAGCAGCCATTGTTGAGGCAACCAAACGTTCAGTTAAATGATGGCAACCTTTGAGAATGGCTAAACAATGAGGAATCAGTCCAGTAACATCGTCAACCCACCGAGCATCGGCTAATATTTTATCAATCTCTGGATGTATGGCAACGTCGTCAAGCTCCATAGAATTAGAAGGGCCTGAATTATTATTTGAAGAGGAACCCAAAAGACCAACATCAGGAGCAGCATCAGTTGCTAAATTTTTAAATAAAAAATCACGTCTGCAATATCGCTGTTGGCAGATTACAATAAGCGCTGCCAGAGAACCAAGAAATATCAATATAAGTATACCGATGGCAAAGATGACAACCGTTTCCATTGGCATATTGTTGCTGGTGATGATGAACTTAAAAAATTAATAATGAGATAAACAAACTAAAGATGATTTATGAAGATGAATAATATTGGTCATAAGAGCTGGTAACATCAGATAAACACAGAGTAAAGACATAGACAACTAAGTTTGGTCAAATGAGTAATAACAGATTATAAATAAATACTTTTGTGAACCAGATTTAACCCAATATTAAGCTTAACTTGTCAAGATTTTCTTGCAATTAACGTTCACTCCTCTATAAAAGAGAGAAATAGTCTAGTTCTTGTTTATTGTTCACTGATCATATTGCTTTCAACACTAAAAAACAGCCCAACAATGTGGACAATGTTAGAGGTTCCCTTTGCAGTTGACTGGTAAAAAGAAAACATCTTTTCCAGTTTTTTACACAAGGAAAGTTCAATGATCGCAATCTCTACCATCATCATTTTCATTACCATCTTCAGGTTGAAAAACGACCTTTGTGGTTACTGGCCATTCCTTCTCTTTCTCTTCTTGCTTCTTTTCCTTTCGCATATCTTCTCACTTTATTATCCATTTTTAACAAATTCAACTTGCTTTGATTTTGTGATTCCAACCATGTTGGTAGGATCGTCAATTGTGGACAATGTGAATCATTTAGAGTTAAATAAAGTTGACAATTTTGGGAATTTCAATGTTGAAAAAATATTAACTTTGAATTTAATGACTGATTCAATGGTATCAATTTGATGGTTAACATATTGAATGGGATGAAGCTTCATCCACAGTCAAAAAAGTATACAAAATTTTATCATTATAACTTGTAGGAATAAATAAATAATCTTACAATGTTGATATCATTTTTCTGATAGAATTTCTCATTCAAAATAATTTTGAACATTGATAAATTAATCCTGACCTGCAAATTAACTTCCGATAAACCAAGTATTGAGATCTTTTTGGTGTCGTTGACAGACATTTAGACTTTGGTGATTTTTTTGCATTGATTTAAGTGAATTATATTGTTTTTTTTAAATTTTCCTCAGGAATCAGGTTTCACGTTGCAGCACAATTAAGATGATTGCGGTAGGATGATTTATCAAATGTTAAATGTTAAAGAATAACGAGTTGCATAAAATTTTGACCGATAAAGAGTAGTTGATCTATCAGTATTGAAAAATGGAGTCAAATAGTGTGTCCTGAAGATTAGAAAATCATCTTTACGATGCTTGGAAAATGATTACTTTGGTTATGTATATGAGTTACCTAAAAATTGTGTATTGAGATCAAAAATTTTCAAAACAACTTATACTTATACACTTATTGTAGCAAAAAAGATGAAAGGATAAATTCTTCTGAATTGAATAGATTTTTAAAGGGATAATTTGATTTCTTTGATAAGCACATGAGTTTAGACTTGACTTGGTGCTATGAAGGGGCTACTTTGATAAACTTCACGTTGCACGTTCTAAGATTTTCATAGTAGCTCAATAACAATCATCTGGAACCGGATCAATGAACTGATTCAGCCAATCGTCACGCCAAAGTGTTTCGATACATTTGTTATCTTTGTCGAATACGATTTCACGATTTAATTTTTCACATAGTTCGGCAAGAAGAGATCTTCCTTCTTTCCATCCGAAAGATCCATCGACGTATAATCTTTCCAGATTTGCACAAGCATCAACAATTATTCGGATGCAGTCTTTTGTGATACAGCGACTTACGACTCTCAATTCTTTCAATTTTTTCAAATTACCAAATAAATGGCAAGAAGAGTCTTCTAGCTGAAATGAGAAAAGGTATAGATTAGTATCGCAAAGGTTAAAAACAAATTTTTGAACAAACCTTAGGACTTAATGATCCATTAAATTGGAGTCTTTCGATGTTAGGACATCTAGTTGTTAACATTTTTAGATCACATCCTGAGTCAAGGCATAAATTTGTTAAGTTGGGTAGAAAGTTGACTAAATACATTTGCATATCACAGGTTGCGTAAACTAGTTCATCTTCTGTTAAATCGACGATTCCACAGTTTAGAACATCGTCGAAGAATTTAATCACAAGTGTCTTCAAATTTGGTAATTTTTTGAAATTTCGAGCAGCTCTTATTGCATCTATGTATTCTTGGGGTTCAAAATCATGTGAGTCTAACAGAAAAAGAGAGAAATATAAAAATTAGTTTAAATGAAAATGTCTCAACAGGGAAAGTCTTTAGGATTAAAATGGTTCGAAAAAATATTACCCTCTTTTTTATTCCACTCGAAATGTTCAAGTTTAGGAAAACTATTTTGAAAAACAACCATCAAAGGGAAAAATCCATAAACACTGAGTCTCTTCAAGTTAACACAGTTTTGCAGTAAGCTTTCGTAATTTAGAGGACTGAAAAAATGGTATTCGTCAACCAAATCTATTTCCAATTCTTCAAGTCCTGAATGAAATTGAAAAGCGTCATCAAGCTCAAAATTGCCAGACAAATGCACAGCCTTTAATGAACTGGCGACTTTTAGTCCTTGTGTTACGTCAATAGTTGGTAGCTCTTTGTCAAATTCTTTGGCTCTCCTAGAAAATGTCAAAACCTAGAGAAGATTAAAGGGTTAGAAATTTTGTTAAGGTTTATCTGGCATTTTCTTACTTTAAGATTTGGTAAATTTTCCATTAAACGAATAAAATTATCTTCTGATAAAGTCGTGTCAGATAGGCAAAGTCCTTGAAGGTGTATGAAATAGTCCCCTAGATATGAAGAAAAGAAAGAGTTATTGATAATCTAAGCAAGAAATCAAGAAATAGAGGAATACAATTTGAAATTTTTCTACCCACCAATTAAATCGTAAATGATAGGCCTAGGAGGACAGCCATAAATACCGAGACGCTTTAGATTGGGTATGATACCAAATAAAAATTTTAAATTTCTTCTTCTTAGATTTTTGTTCTGGATAATAATATTTTGACCTTCATAGTATTTGATAGAATCACGAGCAATATTGTCTAAAAGAAAAAATAGAAAAACAGATTTAGTGAGTGGCTTAGAGTTGGAGCGATGCATATATGGCAGTGATTGCTTGATGCATCTTTGCATAGGTTTGATCATAAATGAGATAGATGTGACCATTCAAAGACGGATAAAATATAAAAGAAATCAAATTACAATAGAGGGTCTCGACTTTGGTGCCATACTTCATTATCAGGTTGTTCCAATGGCGACACACTGGTGAAACAAAAATAGAAAATAAATGGATTAAAAATCGAATCTAGTCAGATTTTTCATCGAAAATAAATTACAGACACAGATACAAAACACTGAAACTTACCCAATCGACAATTAAGAACATCCTTTAGGCTTGTAAGTGAATGGATTATGTTGACCAGTATTTCATTTGGAATGAAATGGATGCTCATTTTTATGATTTTTCTTAAAAGTTGACTATTAAATCTTTGGAGATATCAATCACTTGACAATCTGGTAATGTTTTGAGCACAAACATAAGATTAAATAAAAAAAGAGAATGAAAACAAAGAAAGTTGTTTACATGTGTGGTTGTATGAGAGGTGAAAGCAGAAGAGAAACTTGATTAAAAGATGGGTCGTTGTCTCAAGGAAATCACGATAGACAATCCTAAATCCATTGAATTTGGCTTTTTATTTCTATGTTAATTAAGACTACATCAATGAAGACAGTGAGAGGAATTGCTCAAAAGTATTAAATCATTTTGATTTTAAACCAAAAAGAAAAGCACAAAAAAATAAAGGAAAAAAATAGAAAGACAGGCTCAGAGTGAGAGGGACACAGAAAGAGAGACAGAAAAAGAGAAAGGGAAAGATTTTGTAGGGGGAAAAGAGAAAATAAACAAACCAAACAAAACAAAATTTTTAATCAATTATTATCAACTAATTATTTTAAATTTGTTAACATTAACGTTTAGATGGTTTGAAAGTTCAATGGTTTCACCAAGTGGTTAAAATTTTCACGATTTCAAGTTTTTATCGAGGAAATAAGGGAAACATGAGATTTCGCATGGACTTAATCCAAGTATACGAGTTGAAGATGACTTACCTGAGGAGTTCTGGTGTAAAAATGAAATGAATAACAAACAAATGATGGAATGAATTAAATCTAGGAATAACCACTGGGCTATATTTTAAAAGGCAACGCTCCAAACAGCCAAACTAGAATGTTCAAGCAATATTGAGTCTGACTATTTTGGATTAGGACAATGCTTTCGGCGTTTTGGGTTCACCTACTTGAACTTGATGGTAATCTGATCTCGAATCATCTGTAGAAATCTCTATTTTGCAAACAAATTTCGCGCTAATCTGGATAGTCTCTCAATATGTTATGGTTTTCAAATCTAATTGGCCAAGAGGATGACCATATCGGTGAGACAAAGAGAGCCTCTGGTCCAGAGCCGTCTCTTAATAACTGTCAAATAGATACTGTTAATCCTTTTGTATTATCTTGAGTTTTCAAACAATGTGTACAAATAAAATTCGGAAATTTATTTGATAACGAAGACAACGATTTAAATCATCGATGTTGATAGTATCGACTTAAGCAGTTACTAAGCGACAAAATCAGCTGAGTATAAAAACGCTGATCAACTTGACAAGTTTTAACATAAGTTAATGAAACTCGGTTTTAATTTTTAACTTTGATCAAACTTTGATCTCAATATTTAGTTTATCAGGCCAGGAAATAAGATGGCTTTAAGAAATGTCCGTGTGATTGAACTTGCTGGTCTTGCTCCTGCTCCTTTTTGTGGCATGATTTTAAGTGATTTTGGAGCCGATGTCGTTAGAATCGACAGAGTAAGCTCAACTTGAATTGATTATTCAAATTGATTGATTTGTCTTGTTTTATTTCGTAAGATTGGTGGAGATCCTTTGAAGTCTCTTCTCAACAGAGGGAAAAAGTGCCTACAGCTTGATTTAAAGCGTGCTGAGGGTATCAAAGTCATTGAAAAATTATGCACTCAAGCTGATGTCATTATTGAGCCTTATAGACCGGGAGTGATGGAAAAGATGGGATTAGGTCCTGAAAAGTTGATGCAATCAAACAATCGACTCATTTACGCTCGTCTTTCTGGCTTTGGTCAACAAGGGCCACTTTCTCAACGAGCTGGACATGATATCAACTATTTATCAGTGTCAGGTTTACTTTCATTGTTTAAAGCCTTCGGGAAAAATTCACTACCAAATCCACCAATAAATATTCTTGCTGACTTTGCTGCTGGAGGGCTTTCATGTGCTCTTGGTATTACAATGGCTCTGATCGAAAGAAATACTTCAGGTTTAGGCCAAGTAGTTGATGCAAATATGACCGAAGGCTGTAGTTATTTGGCTTCGTATATTCGTGAGTCTCGGAACAATCCTTTATTCAAACAATTCATGTGGCCCAATCCTGACAAACCTGGTGAAAACTTACTCGACGGTGGAGCTCCTTTCTATTCAGTTTATAAAACTCTGGACGATAAATACATGGCAGTTGGAGCTTTAGAGCCTCAATTTTTTGCACTTTTTATTGAAAAAGTAGGTCTTGAAGGTGATTATTATCCAGGAATAATTGATCAATCTATGAGAGAAAAGTTGACAAAGATTTTCGAGAGCAAAACACAAAAAGAATGGATTGACATATTTGATGGGACTGATGCTTGTGTAACTCCTGTTGTTGATTTTGACAATGCTGCAGAGTTTGATCACAACAAAACAAATAAATCATTTTTGGCTGATGGCATGCCAGTTCCAGCTCCTCGTCTGACCAGAACAACAGCTAATCCAGTTTTAGTTGAAAGACAAATCGAAGATATCTTTGAATTCCTCCAAGAATATGGCTTTGAAAAAAATCAAATACACGAATTATTAGAGAACAAAGTTGTCGATCTTCCAAAGTTAACTCATTCTAAACTTTGAAACTTCTAAGCTTTTAACTATTATATAAAATATAATATAAACTGCAAATGTACTCAAATTGCTACGGGAAATCAATTTTTACTTGAAATTACTTTATACATTACTTTATGTATCATTGTTGACAAAAAATAGAGCATAAAGATACTCAACAAAAAAACTGGGTAATAAAAACATAAAATTTATTGTTTCTGAACAATTACATCTATCTTTGAAATACATTTCGAATGGTGGTTGTAGGTGTTAACTTGAGTAACTTATTACAACGATTCTTTCCAATAATTGATTTTTTATGGAGATGAAATATCATTGGTGGAAAGATGAAAGCTTATTAATAGTGGGTGAGCAATAAAGTAATTGGAATTATGCAAAAATATATACAATTTAATAAAAGATATTTATAATTGTTAGTTGCCAAACTATTCCTCCTTTCGACCATCTCTGCCTCCTCTTTTCTTCCAAACAGCAGCTTCATCTGCCATAGCCTAATGAAGGAAACAAAGAAGATTATAAAATAAGCATAAAAATTAGTTAAAAATAGTCTTCTCTTGAAAAATCAAAGAAAAAAGTTACCTGATTCAATATTTTATCGGCTTCAGGATCAACTGCGGCGAGCTCAGCAAAGTTTTCTGCTCCAACAAAACAGATCTCATAATCATCAGGATCCAAGAGGATAACAACATGGACATCTGATTTACCAGGAGTTGATAGAGTTACCAAATCATGTAAAATTTTAAGCCCTCTTTTCTTGACAATTTCATTATTCAAGCAATCTAGGAGAGGGAACACCAAATGCTAATCTACCCCATCCAGTTGCATGATCGATTGGAGCTCCAACATGAACCAAATTTAGCTTACATTGGTCATCAGCATAACCAAGAGTGGCTTCGTTGGAAGATTGAGAATAAACTTTCAATCCAAGCAATCCAGACCAATAATCAATGGATTGCGATAAATTACTAACAGAAATCGATACTTGTGTTAAGCTATTATTTCCTTTACGGATAATCAAAGGGTAACCGTCAGGATCTTTAACATCCACTTCATCTCCAGAAAGGTTGAACTCTTTTTTAACTCCTTCCAATGCTGTAGTTGATTCAATAACAATCTTCCTTAAATCATTACCAATACCATATGAAGGAATTGGATAGTTGTATGTCAGTTCTAGAATGAAATTGCCGCTTTCAGGTCCATAACCAATCATAGTTTTACTCCATGCATTCTGGTAAGGCCTGAAGAAATAAACAAAATTGAATGATGAAATTTTTTGATACCATAGGTAGGCTGAACGTTTGATTAAAAGTTACAATCAACGCCCAATGACGATTACCAACTTACCCATTGCAAGTTGCTTTACAGCCCTCATCAAACTCTTCATGACGAAGTACCTGCAATTGAAAATGCAAAAATGAGTAAATGATGAATTCCTTGTTACTGGTAGCAATCAAGATTATAGACTATAGAAGGCTTTGAGATGTCCAGAAACAAATATAATACAATGATAGTTGACCACAAACCCAAACATTAACCTATACTTTGGTAGACTTCATAATGCAGGTCTTAATAGATGGGAAATTGTGAAATTATCATTGAATAGAGTGAAAATTAATCAAAATGGACTCCTTCCAATCAATTATTGTAATGAGAAACGTTAAGAGAAGGAAAGCAGCGAAAAACGTTGGGAATAAAAACCAAACACTTACTGTCATTCCAAGGATATCCCGATAAAATTGGATGGATTTTACTCGATCACCGATCTTTAAACACCAATGGAGTGCACGAGACATAGTTATAATTTAATTAATCTGAATTAAAGGAGAGAAACAATTATGTTAAGCTGGTAATAAACAGCAAGTGGAATAAACAGAAAATAAGAAAGCAAGAGGATTCAATGGAAAAGTGAGAGTGACTCTTAGCTGAAGTTGAGTTGACTTACGATTGCCCGGGTTAATTGATTGCTAAAGTTGTATATTACTTTGAATTTGTCCAAATGAGAGTTTATTTTGCAATTATAAACTTTCTAAATTTGAACCAATTTTCGATCACGAATTAGATGAGTAAATTAATGATGAGACAATTAATTATTTAGTTGTACGATGGACAGTAAAGGAACGTAAAATTTGAATAGACTTTCAATGTATTAACAATATGAATTAGAATGATCTGTTTCCCCCGCAAATCATCTACAGTAAATGGTGATTTATCAATGGGGGAAAATGGATTTTATATACGATTCTCAATTCGCTGTAACCATTGTAATCAGATTTGCTCCTCTAATCAATCGTTATTTCAGTTTTTCCCCTCACCTTTATTATTAGCAATATCATTGAGTGCCTTAATCAAGTTAGCCTTTTGTTGGGGGCAAAAAACCGAGTCTTTTACCTTTCCGGTAATATTCATTTTTGTCATTTTTGTCATGAATTTACCAGGTAAATCAGTGAGCAGCAATATTTAATAACATCCTCAATATTATCATTACCTAACTGATCAAAGATATGATTGGAAAAAACCAGCCATGAGTTGATAGATCATCAATTTAAGGACAGTGTATTTGCACCTAACAGATGAGACAAAAACAGGACATAATTTTGAACCTTGGTTATTTTTCTTGAGTTTACTTTGGATTCAAGCTCAATAGCAATCATATTTCTCGATCAATCTGAATCTCATCTGATTACCATTTCATTTAAAATCCGTATAAGAGTCTGTTCTTGCAAATTCATAGCTTCAAATTGGTTTTTAACAATTAAGTCAACAATTTTGTTCACACTTTAGATTTGATTGTAAACAAGACTGTTGAACACGTGAACTTAATTTAGCTCGGTAATAAATGTATAAACGTGGCAAAACCGTGTTTAAATCAATAATATTGAGTTATTATTAATATTTCAGTCAATATCAATGCCTATGCAATGATAGGAATTATAATATAATTTTTTCAAGCCATTAACAGTTTATTGATTAGTTAAATGACAATAATGATTACGCTTTGATCAATATAATCAATAATCGGCAGTAAATTAATTACATCTTTAGTTATTCTGATCAATATTGTAAATAAAACATTCTAACCTTTAAACACCATTTGATTATTCAATGTAATCACATTGCAATAACTTTAACAGTTAGACTGTTATTTAAGGCAATTTGTTTCAATTTCGAGACAACTTTCAGATTAACTCAACTATGAATACGCAACATTAATAATCATCATAAGATAAATCAGGGGAAATTACTGATCGTTACAAACTACGATAATAGTCTTGACAATCAATAATAGCAAATGAAAGGTATCTGAATGATATTGAATTACTTTAGATTTCATTTCAAGCCAAACAATTGTCTACAGACAATACAAATTAAATGAAAACAATTAAATATCAATTACACATAATTTTGAAACAAAATTGTTTCTGTTTTTCTTGAATCTTTGGTTCAATCGATGTTGACTTCAATAACGGTTAAAAGTTCAATATTTCTCAGCACATATCTTTCATAAAACTGATATTGAATTTCTAGGTAATGGTGATGGTTGATGATATTGAGATGCAAAAACTGAAAACATTAACTGAAGCAAAATATTTTGATTTTCGTATAGAGATTATTATCTTTACCGTTAGTCCTACTACGGTGTGTTTTAAAACATTGTGGCCACAATATTCTGCATCAAAAGTCTCGACTTGCAAATCCAATTTTATGAGATTATAATTATTTCTGATATCTATACCATACCATATATAAAGTCAAAACATGAAATTTTTGCGTAAAGATTGTGGCCAAACTAAAAGGATTCTAAAGAAAAATTTTCCTCATCCTGAAAACCATGATTAAACTACATCCACGAAAAATAGTCTGAACTTCATCGGAATTCAGGTACCGGAGAAATTAGCGTTTAAACAGGGTAGGGGAAAAAATGCAGAATCCGTATCTTTTACCATTGACTTTGGGGGAAAAATGTTTTGGTTGTTCAGGTTGATTGTTGGTTTATTGTTAAATTAGCAGGATATGTGAAACCATTTTTCGAGCAAAGAGTTAGGTAAAAGATATGTTGCCTCAATTGTTGAACCAAATTTTATTTTGATTTTTTGTCATTGACAATGGTTTTTCATCAATAATTTGAGTCTTTAAATGTGGATTGGATTTTTTGTATTCAGTGAAAAGAAATTTACGATCAGTCATGATCGGGGCTCAGCTTGTTTAGCATAAATTTTGATATTAAAACCTTTCACCTCTACCATTTTTACCAGATTACTGCGGCTTCAAAGCCTTTTACTAATCCAATTGATGAATTTCGCATGAAAAACATGTGGCTACAATATATACTGTATTAGTTTTACCTCTAGTCCTGATTTTTTGACAAAATATGCTTTGACTCTTTCTTTACATTCACTTATGCAAATATTTAGGCGGTTCTCAGGTGAAACCTTTAGACAGCTCAGCCTGACCACAGTAGGTTGTAGGTCAAAACTGGTTTTTGAGCTGGTGAAACAAAGAACGGGTTAGTTTTGACTTCGTTTTGTTGTGAAACATTGTGATATTTAGAAAGTTGAAATTCATTATTTCTGTTTACTTTAAATATCAATCGAAATTTTATTTACAATGACGGGAAACAACGATAGCCCAAGTAAAGTAACTATTAAACTGAAAATTACAAGTGACGAGGACTACCAAGACGTAACAATTGATTGGTCAGATGAAAGTTGTGAACTTAAACAACTACTACTCATCCGAAAGGTAAGCACATTACTTGTTATGTTTTTAATTGTTTAGTTGACAAATACTTTGCAATCATTCACAGATCGCAGATTCTATCGGATTACCAGCTCAATATATTAGGTTCGTCAGTCTAAACAATACAACGGATGTTTTTCCGCTTTCCAATACAGAAAGTAATTTCTGCGCTACTTATTCCGGCCCTGCACTAGTGGATCATACATTTTGGCAAAGTATTAATGATGGCGATTGTTTTTATCTGCGTTCATTTTTGGGTTTAATAAATCACGAATGTCTTTTTGATTTGATTGTTGGTCTTTTCTCGGCAGAACCTGAATACATTCATCCAACCGAATGCTCTAGGTTCTATTGTCAAATCATAAACAGCAGATCTTGGTTGGATAAAAAGAAAGAAATAATTCTCAATTCGGAAATATTCCCAAAAATCAGAGCTGCACTTCCTGACGAGCCATGGGGAATTCATGGAAATGGACGGTTGTCAACTTTAGTTAATTTCAATATTAGACAATATTTTACTCCATGTTGCCGTTGTCATACAAACAGTGGGAAACATGAGCGTCATTATCCGCCGCATCGAGGTTAATAACATCAGAAAAATCATCACCATCATCGACAATGTTCATAATTGCCATTGGAATCATGTCTAAATGTGATCAATTGTTTAGTCAACTGTTTTTTTGGCAGACATTGTCTTTATTCGTATATGTCTTTGTCATATTTATATTCAAATAAAGAGTTTCAATAAAATATTGAGATGAAGAAGCTAAACAATATTTTATTCTCATATGGACATTATCATCTTTATCAATGTCCTTAGCTATTTGCCATCTCTAGTCGTGATTTTTTGATAAAATATGATTTAACCCTTTCCTCACATTCTTATGGACATATGCACGCGGTTCTGAGATGAAACCTTTAGACAGACTAACCTAGCCTGACTACACTAGGTTGTAGGTCAAAACTGGTTTTTGAGTTGGTATTTCAAACTTTTGCACCTGTGAAACAATGTTAGTTTTGACCATTTTTTGGTGAGAATTCACTTACAAAGTTACTTGTTAGAAAGTTAAAATTAATTATTTCTCTCTGTTTTAAATATCAATCAAAACTTTATTTAAAATGACTGGAAACAACGATACCTCGAGTAAAATAACTATCAAAGTGAGACTAAGTGATGAGGATTACCAGGATATCACAATTGATTGGTCAGATGAAAGCTGTGAACATAAACAGCAAATACTCATCCGAAAGGTAAGCCCAATACTTCTTATTTTTTTATATTTATATATTTTCTTATAACTAATTGACAAATACTTTGCAATCATTTACAGATCGCATCTTTTATTGGATTACCAATACAATATATTAGGGACGTCGGCATTTTCCTGACAACGAATCATATTTGGCTTTCCAATACAGAAAGTCATTTCCGCACTCTTTACGTTACCATTCCACCTCCACGAGTGAATGAAACATTTTGGCAAAGGATTAATGATGGCGATTGTTTTTATCTGAGTTCATCTTTGTTTTTAATAGATCACGAACATCCGCTCGGTTTGTATGTTGATCTTTTCTCAGCAGAACCTGAATACATTCATCCAACCGAATGCTCTTCATTCTATTGTCAAATCAAAAACAGCAGATCTTGGTTAGATAAAAAGAAAGAAATAATTTTAAATTCGGAAATACTCCCAAAAGTCAGAGCTATAGCATTTGAGGTTAGATGGACAAATGTCTGGTTCAACACTTTAGTTGATTGCAATATTTTGCAGTATTTTGGTGCATGTTGTCATCGTTTTCTTAACAATACAACGAAACATAGGCGTCTTTATTTTCCGCATCGCGGTTAATAACATCAGAAAAATCATTACCATCTAACATTGACAATATCAATGATTGCCATTGGAATCATGTCTAAATTTGATCAATTGATTAGTCGAGTTTTTGGTGACATTGTCTTAATATTTGTATACAAATAAAGAGTTTCAATAAAAAGATTGAGCTCATTGAAATCGACATTTCAATAACATTGTGTTATCAACCATTTTTGCATTATCCACTCTAAATTAATACCAATCTGCTATCAACCTAAACTTTTAAACAGTGATTGTAACGCATTAATATTTTTCCCATTCACAAGTTTACTCATCGGTTATAAATTTTAACAACCAAATGTTAATATTTGCATAAAATATAAACAAAGCAACATTAAAATCACTGTATATCACTATGAGAAGAAAAAATGAACAAAAATTTATACATTTAATGAAATTTATAATGAAAAATAGCCCAACAAGGAAAAATTGAATACTTTATGGCAATCATTTTTGTTTGTATTGAATCAGCTGTATTCCTAAGAAACTCTTACTCTTTACTCTGTTGTCAAAGAGTAAACTCTTTGACGATAAGAGTTAACATTTTTTGTAACCATCATTTACTTCTTAAAAAGGTGCAAAAGGAGGAGATTTGTTGATAATCAAACAGGATTTGTTGGTATGACCAGTTTAGTTACAGCATCTTTTAGATTTAGTAACATCACTTTATTCATTTGTTTCATTTATAATTTTGTAATATTTTGTCTTGTACAGATTTCTGTTTAATATGAACCTAAAATGGACTTGGATTTTTTGTATAATCCTTGTGATAACCAATTTTCCCACCAACACACAGACTGCCGATGATGATTACCAGATCGGAGTTGGTATTGCCGACATAACTGGACCAGCAGCAGAGATTAATATGGTAAGTTTGAAACGCATTTTTTCGATAATAGGTGTTACTTTTTTTCATCAGACTCATTAGTTTTAACACATTTCTTGATCACTTTTTTATAGATGGGTTATGCCAAAGGTGGACAAGATACAGCTGGGATACATTTCCGATTGTACAGTCGTGCTTTTATCATCGTTGATCAACTAGGATCTCGAGTCTGTTACGTAAATACAGATCTTGCCATGATATCACAAGCAGTGCATAATGAGGTGTGTGATTTACATTTCCATGTTTTTGATTTGATTCAGACAGTTTATTAGAGGATAATTTGACAGTGAAATATTTTTGACCTTGAAATAAACTGACCTCTGCTTCAATCTTCTAAATAGGTTATCAGGCAAATTGAAGACAAATATCCTGGTATTTACTCGAGAAAAAACACATTACTTGGTGCAACTCACACTCATTCCGGTCCAGGCGGATTCTTGCAATATGTGCTCTACATTATTTCATCTCAAGGGTTTATTTGGCAAAATTTCAACGCAATAGTTTCTGGTATCGTTAGGGTAAATGACATTTTATCTTATTTGTGATTATATTACCGGACGGTTTGCTTAAGTTGATGTTTCAATTTCCTTTTTCTTTTCTCTCCATGCATTTCTAGAGTATAGAAAGAGCTCACAATAATCTTCAACATGGTAAAATACTTTACAATCGTGGTGAATTGTTGGATTCCAACATCAATCGAAGTCCAGCATCGTACATGAATAATCCACTGAATGAAAGGAGAAGGTTTGTGTGCCACTTTGTCACTCTCTATAAGGTTTTTGCATATGAAACCTGATCAGGATAATATTTTGAAGTGTTTTAAACTCTAAAGTTCTTCACAATATTGCTCGATTATTTCAAATACTTGAAATATTTCTCAGTTGTCAGTCAACTCTATCAAATGAATTGTATGAAAGGTGTAGGTCTTTTAAGTTTGCATTGTTTTGTTGACTTGACCTTTTCAATTACTTTCACTTTATTCATGAAATTTGTTGTAAATTTGAGCTCTCATTAACGAATATTAATTTAATTCTTATTTGTCTCTTCATCTTTATTCCGACATTTACAGATACAAATATGATACGGATAAAACAATGGAAATTTTGAAATTTGTTTCTCGAACTGATGAGCCTATTGGTCTATTAGATTGGTTTGCTGTTCATCCGACAAGCATGAACAATACTAATAGATTAATCAGCGGTGATAATAAAGGATATGCTGAATACTGTTTTGAAAAAATGATGAATCCAAACTCATTACCCGGTGAAGGTCCATTCGTTGCTGCGTTTGCTAATTCAAACCAAGGAGATGTTTCACCTAATATCAAAGGACCTAGATGTACAAATTCAGGAGCACCTTGTGACATTGAAACAAGCACATGTAATGATGTACCCGAGAAGTAAGTATTAGGAGCTTCAAAATATTTTTTACTTTGTTGTCCCAGTTTCTCATAGACGGAAAGATATTCAAAATATTTTTCAGGGTCAGAAATGTTGATTATGTTGAGTGAATTTCATGTTTTTAATTGGTCTGCGAGAAACTTCGAAAATAAAGTAAAAAATATTTTGAATCTACTAGTATTATTGACCAATAGGCAAACCTGAATGATTAATTGAAATTTTTTGACTCTCCTCTAGTTTAAATTATCGACTCCGGCCATTAAACAACCCTCCAAATCAATTCGAAGCCATGGAAAATAATAAATTATCAAGAAATGATTTAAGAAGGTATGAAAATGCAGGATCAGAAGCTTTGTTACGTCGTAGGCCTCGCGATGCTCGTGATAATTTAGAAGGAGATTTAACTAATAGTACACACGGCAATGAACCCAAGCCTCCAACTGAAAAAGGTGTTTGTATTGCTTCTGGACCAGGACATGACATGTTCGAATCTACTAAAATAATTGGTGAAAGGCAATGTAAAAAAGCTAAAGAACTATGGGACTCGGCTAATACTGTAATTAAAGGTTCAGTTGAATTTATACAACAATATGTTGACATGTCCAATGTTGTGGTTGTTCTGGCTGATAACAAAACAGCGAGAACATGTCCACCCGCTATGGGCTACAGTTTTGCTGCCGGCACAACTGATGGACCAGGTGCTTTTAATTTTCATCAAGGTTCGACACAGTCAACTCCATTTTGGAATTTCGTCCGTGATTTCCTTAAAAGACCAAGTCCAGCAATGCTTGCCTGTCATCACCCCAAACCCATATTATTGGATACTGGTGAAATGTTGTTCCCTTATTCCTGGCAGCCCTCAATCTTACCTGTTCAACTGCTCAAGATTGGACAAGTGTTGATTGTTGGTTTACCTGCTGAATTTACCACCATGGCTGGTAGACGTGTTCGTGAAACTGTCAAAAAAGAGTATGAAAAATTTAAACCAGGTTCAAATGTAATTGTAATTATTGCTGGACTTGCCAATGCTTATTCATCTTATGTAACTACAATTGAAGAGTACATAAAACAACGTTATGAAGCAGCATCAACCATTTTCGGACCATATACTTTAGACGCTTATCTACAAGAGTTACGTATGTTAACAGGACATTTAGCTTCTCGGAAAGAAGTCGAACATGGACCCTCACCGCCCAACTTACTGAGTAAACAAATTTCATTCAAACCAGGAGTTGTTATGGACTCTGCAGGTCGTGGTAAAAATTTTGGTGATGTTATTGTTCAACCCAACTTGCGATATTCTCGTGGATCAACAGTAACCGTTTCTTTCGTTGCCGCTAATCCAAGAAATGATTTGCAAACAGAGAAAACCTATTTGACTGTTGAAAAATTAGATTCAGATAAACAAGAATGGAAAGTTATTGCGACAGACGGAGATTGGGATACAAAGTAAGTTATAATATATTTCGGACAACAACTTCAACAAGTTACATCAAATATTCAAGAGAATATTTTCATTGATTTTCAATTTTTTGACTGATTTTAGATTCTACTGGCTTAGAACAAACAGAATTCTTGGTGAAAGCGAAGCAATCATAACATGGGATATTCCTAAAGATGCTGACCCTGGTGTTTACCGCATTAGGCATTTTGGTGTTTCCAAAAATTTATTACAAAGATTACACCCTTACGTTGGAATCTCTAATTCTTTCAAGGTTGATCCCTAACCTAAATAATTATTTTTATTGTTAAATCTAGTCACAATTTTTATAATTTGAATAATAAAATGATTAATCAATTTACCTATTCTCTCAAAATAAAACCCATTTTGTAACAATACTTTTCAATTTATTCAAAAATACTAAAATAAACCAAACTTTTTTAGCTTAATATTGTAGCCATAGATGGCTCTTCATCATTTAATTGCCGATTTTGTTTCAAATCAGCTGTTTCTTTAAATTTAATCTTGATTTTATTAAATCAATTTTTTTTAATTGTTTTTTACGGTTTTTTACAATAGTTTTACAATTTGACAATAAAATCCATCAAGTGCTCGACAGTAATGTGCAGATCTGTTTCAATGCTATGAGAATCATTTCGCAAAAATTGTGATATTGAGACTTTTTGGTTATTATTAACTGTGAAAATATTTAAAAGTGATCTTTCAGCATTTAAAATTATCAAAACATGACTCTTTTTGAGTTTAGTGGTTGTGCTCTGATTGCCTTTGGCCCTCCTATGACAATGTTTTTCTTGACATTAGCAGATAATCCTATCTTTATTATCGTTATGATCTCATCGTAAGTTCACCATTCAATGTGTTTATCCGTTAATTCAAATTAACTAATTTGTTTTTATCTTTCAGTGGTTTCTTTTGGCTTTTATCGCTTTTAGTTTCGTCAATAATTTGGACTATTGTGTTCCCGCTTAAAGAAATTCTCGTTTTTGGAGTAATCTGCTCGGTGATAGTCCAAGAAATATACAGATATCTATTTTATGCGATACTCAAGTAAGTGAACAAATCAAATAAATGATAAACATTAAAAACATACATTAATAATGGTTTCTTTTTGGTCTTTAGAAAAGCTCAAATCGGCTTACAAAAGGTTTCTGATGTTGGTAATAGAGGTCATTTGTATTCAATAAGTTGGTCAACATTATCCTATGGTAAGTTTTGTTTAAAAGCAAAAAATGCATTTTATTAAAAATTATCTTTTCTATTTCTAGTCTCTGGGTTTGGATTTGGTATCATGAGTGGAGCTTTCTCTCTTGTCAATGTTCTTGCTGATTCTACTGGTCCAGGAACTGTTGGTCTTTATGGTGACTCGCCTTATTTTTTCATTTCAACCTCACTAATTACATTAGCTTTAATCTTGCTACATACTTTTTGGGGAATCATATTTTTTGATGCACTCGACAAAAAATGCAGATATAAAATTGGTTATGTCGTTGTCTCTCACTTAGCAGTGTCAGCTTTGGTAATTATGCTTAGTTTTTTTCAAATCATTAACTTGAGCTTTGCCATTGAACGGATTGATAACAGCAAAAGCACGAATTAAGTTCAATGTTCATGCATGAATCGATTTTTACATATTTATTTTTTATCTTTCCAGACTTTCTTCAACCAGCAACAATTGTATCTTGCTTCATTAATTCCTTGCTACTTGATAACAGTGATCACTGCATCAATCGCTTACCAATGTGCTGGAGGTACGCTCAAGTCGCTTAAAGAAAGCCTACCATTCGTCTCAGGCTAGATTTCTCAAAGACTATTTCTTATGGCACTAATTAAACATTCATCGGAAGGAATGCTAAAGATCTTACCACAAAACTTTGATAACTATTTGATTATCATCAAGATTGTATCATTCAACGGAACATAATATTATACTTATTTGCATTTATACCTTTTAACCAGTTTAATTAACAACTTGAAAATCTTTTCTATTTTCATAAGAATTATTTACGTGTATCTTGTTGAAAAAACATTAAAACTTGCCTAAAAATTTTACTCAATAGTCAAAAACTTTTAAATCGGGATTTCTATAGAGTTATGCCATAAAAATCATTCAATTCTTAAATCTATAGACTCTTTAAGACTAATGTCTTCACCTTTTACTAAAGATGAAAAATATCAAGCATGAAAATTTACATCTCGATTATTTTTGATGATCTCATATATTTATTAGCTTCATTTTTTTAAAAGTTTCCAAAGCGACTAACGAAATGAACAGAATGGAACAATTTTAAGATTAAATGTTAGAAAATAGTTTAAAATTGGGAGAAAGTTAAGGTGGTATAATTAAGGAATTAGGAATATTTAGATTGAGTTTGAAAAGAAATAAACAACCAATAGTTTACATTACAAATTAATGGTGACATTTACAATTCTGAAAAAAAACAGTCGCAAGGCAAAGATATTGAGGGAAATGGGAAAAATTACGAGGAAATGAAAGCAAGGGAAAGAGTATAAAAGTGTATGATATCAATTGGCTTTTGTTTGACAATATAAAAAAATACTGATCAAAATTACTGATCAAACCACACAAAATGGCCTACTTTCGGTTTGATTCATTTTATCAACGTTGAGTTCGATTTTTACAGTCTTGAATAGTTGATAATCTCAATCACTGTTTGTCAAGTGAATCAAAACTAATAGGTCATTATAATTTCTGTGTCTAAGTAATTATAAATTATATATGTAACTGTGGTTCATGGCGATGAATCGTTGAATTGAATTGTCTTTGCTTCTCAAATATCAGCTTAACCGAATTCGTTTAAAAATTAGATAATTTTGATAAGCGCAGTCTTCAAATTTATAACTTTACATTGTCTTGTAACCTTCCACATTAAATAATGTAAAAAACGACAAAGCAAAAAAATTGGCTGATTAAGCTAATGGATTGGGCGATTGTCCTCTGCTTGTTGGTGAATTAGCTCGAGAATCGTCACAGGACAGATGTTCATGTTCGATTGAATGCTCTTCTCTCATGTATTTACCAACAATGGGTAACACTGTTAACCAGTTACAACCAATAACCACCAAGAAACATCCAACCTGTGAAACAATAGACGATTAAAAGATAAAAAGATGTCGAGATGAGATTAAAAATTCATGTCAAGATGCGAAAGTCATATAGCAATAAATAATATCTTACCAAGTAGACAACAAATATAAGGTAAAAAATGACAAAAGTTAGCGCCAACAGGATAACCCACCAGGTAACAGGGAAATTGTCTTTAACGAATGAACCAACAAAATAAATATTGATTGAAATGACAACAACAGAAAGAGAAGAGGCAACAACTATGTTGGTAAAATCATTTTTAAATTGGCCCATGACTTTTTTAGACGAAGTAAAGGTAAGAGTCGGTAGCAAGGCAAATGGCAATTGTAATGACATAAGAGCATTGAGAAGATCATTCATTCCAGTTAAGTCTTGTTGGCGATAATAGGCGATAAAAAGTGTTGGACAAATGGCAATGGTTCGAGTGAGAAGTACTCTTTTCCATCTGGCCCAATGAAGATCTAGAAATCCTTCCATGGCAAATTGACCAGAATATGTTCCAGTCATGGTTGAGCTTTGACCAGCAGCAAATATTCCCACAGCCCAGATATAAAGAGCAGGTAAACCAAAGTAACAGCCAAGATAAATTCCCTGAAAAGATGACCAACAAAACAATTAGTAAATCAAAATAATATAAAATCAAATGATGAAAGCTTACGGCTTTAAAAAGATCGGCATCGACGAGTTCATCGTTATTCGGAAAAGTTCCATTTGGAATGGGATAATTGATATTAGAGCATTTGGCATTCTGAAAATAAAAAATTGAAATAAATTATTTACCAAAAAACATTGATCATTAAAAAGCTGTTATAACAAAATTCAGTCAATTTTTTAAAGGCAATCAGAAAGATTTTTTTTGAAAATTTCATTTTATTTGAAATTTTTTCACTCAACAGACTTATCAATTGGTTATTCAATTCGTTCAAATGATAATCAGATAGCTAAATGAATCAAATACATCTTTCTTTTATTCTTGATGAAAACCATACCAATTGAAACCTAATATGGTATCATTTATGATATGAATGTGATTGGAAGCTGATTTCGACTTTGGCTAAACTGTCGACTTGATTATGAACTAGAATAGATAATTTGTTTCACCCTTTACAGTTGAAAGTTGGTAAACCTTTTGAATGAATCAATTGTTACAAAATAAGATCATGCTCAAGTCTGGTGAAAATATGGAGAAAAAAATGGTAATAAATGACAAGCTGATAATTTGAAGACGTCATATTATTTTATTGTTTGCTTTAACAATAAACAGAATTAATGTCACTGATTAAATAATATTGTGCATCCAACACTTTTGACTATTTGGAGGAGAATAATGTTGACTATTACCATTTATAATCAATTTGATTGTTAGTGTCTTGTCATCAACTTATAGACAAGTGTTGTATCAAAGTTGATCATTGAAACTAGATTTTACATGTAATATCAATATATCACATGCAACATGTTACAAGTTCAATCTTAATTTATTTGATTGAACATTAGAAGTAAATTGACAGATGAAAGGAAATTTAAATCTAAATGAGCGAAAAGCATTGTCATAACACTACTCTTAATGTGATGATTGAGCTGAAAAAGAGCATGTTTACCAATAAGAATTTGTACATTCGAGATTTTGACTAACATCTAAAAGGCGTCATTTAATAATAAGACCTGATTCGCCTTGATTTTTAAAAATATATGTTATTGCATTAGTGGGTAACCTTCATTATAGCTCTTGAATTAAGCTATTAGTCAATGACATAAAGAATCAATATTATTAGAAATTTTCAATTTCAAGAGGTTCTTCACAGAAACACTTCAACAATTAAACAACAATACAATAATTTCAGGATGATAAATGAGTAAAAAATGGATAATCGCTAATGTAATGGAAGCATTATTTCATTGCAAAAAAGTGACGATTTAATCAGTACAGGTGATCAAATTAACCGACTAATTGCAATGATTGACAACTAATTTGTTTAAGTATGAATCTTGCTCATTCAATTTTCACTCAAGTCGACTGACGATTGTTTTTATATTATCAGTAAAAGGAGCATATCATGAAAAGATTTTGTTTGAAAGTGGAAAAGTGAAAAAAAACGAATCAATTGTTGAATTAAAATTAAAGTTAGATAAAAACAGTTCTTGGATCTGGTTGATGAGGTGAAAAAGAATGGAAGAACAGAAAGATGAGGAAGAATGAAATATTCTCATCCTGATATCACTTGACACCGAAGAGGTCCATACATTTGATAAAATTAACCTCATAAAGGCAATTTGATTGATAAACAAACATCAAATTAGCTATGATTAAAATCTACTGATTAGATTAATCCACCAAAATGTACCCAGAGTAAGTTTCAAAGAGTTCAAAGTGCTTACCACTTCAGCATTGGTAACTCCATACAATCCATGGGCGAATACTGAAGTTACGGAAATGTTGATTAGAAGAGAAACTCCTAAAGCAATGAAAGCTTCAATGAAAACATATCTATTGGCATCTTTGACCTCAGCGGCATTGGAGCGATCAATTTTTCTAGACTGGAACCAGAAGACATGAAAGTATTAGTGATTTGGATAATTTAAACACACGAGTGAAGTAAAAAATTTACAAAAAGTATTGTTTAGTTGAAGAAAAGAAAAGGAAATATTTGATTCTTATTACCTTGACTAAAGCTGAATGAAGGTAAAGATTGTGAGGCATAATAATTGCACCGATTATTCCAACGGCTTGCATTAAGGCTCCATACTGACAATGAGAGCACCAAGGAATTAAAAGTCCAGAGCCGACACTTATGGGAGAAGGTTTGACACGGAAAAATTCATAGCCAAAAGTAGTGGCCATTACAGTTATGAGTAGGCCAAAGAAAGCTTCCAATTTTCTAAGACCATACTTATCAAGAAACAGAAATGTAAATGTATCACAAATTGTTATAAGTACACCATAGAACACTGTTACATGGCCTTGGGTGAGAATATTGATTGCTATTGCGGTTCCAATTACTTCTTGCATATCTGACCCAATTATAGCAATTTCAACCATAATCCAGAGTAAGATTCGAGGTAGCTTTGGATAACGGCGATAACACAGTTCTGCAAGATGTAAACCTGTAACGGTTCCAAGGCGAGCTGCCAGACGCTGCATCAAGAGTCCCAAAAAAGTAGACCACATAAGAACCCATAGTAGATGGTATTGAGCGATGGTTCCTGCTTGAAGATCTGATTCAATGTTACCAGGATCAAGGTAAGCAATGCTCATTAAAAAACCAGGACCAGTGAATTGCCATAATCGACGCCAACTAAAATTGTACTGTAATTTAAGAAATATAAACAGGTATTAGAGTGATTTTATTGTTTAAAGAACGTAAACTTACATTTTCAGCTGAAGGTATTTCAATGCACTCATTGAAATAGGTTTCTAATTTTTGTTTTTCACTCCTTTCATAGGACGAGTCAATTCGATCCAATTCATCTGCACCATTGTTTTGTCCAGACCTATTTTTTACATTAAATTTTGAAGAATTTTCACCTTCGTAAACTGGATTTACAGCTCCATAATGAATTAAATCCTCTTTAACGAGATTAACACTAGATTTAGATTCATCCATAGTAAACACACACTGATATCAGGTTGATGTAAGATGAACGGGTATAAAGTCAAATTAAGATTAGGCGGTTTGAAAGTGAATTGTGATTAAACATTGAGGTTTAACTTGATTGTAGAGCAGTAAACGATTTTAAGAACAGTCGAGGAACGAGGAAGAGATTCGATTAATTATTTACTGTTTTTCTGTACACCATTCACTGATTAATTGAATTGAAAAAATGATGTTGTACTTTTTTTAATCCACCAGTTGGTTTTCCAGTGTAAACAGACTCTATGTAGATCAGGTGGTCAGGTTTAAAATGAAAAAGTAATTCATGAAGAATATAATTAATTAATATTTCAGTATCACATCACAACTCTTCAATTGATCAACTTACAGTTAACATTAAATACAAGATTGAATGATACCTATTCTTACTTTCATCTCACTCTTCATTTTCTGATGATGTTACTCACTAACTCTCTCAATATTCCCATTGGTGGCGAAGCGCACATTAAAAATTATTGCACATTTATTAATGACCAATAATTCAATTAAATAAAATCAACAGTAGCTATTATCACTAGATTAAAGGTTAATTTAATTATAAGGATAAAATGAAATGAAAGAACCACAAACCTAACAACACAAGTTGACCTCACCAGCTGACTAAGAATAAGGTGGAGCCTTTTCACTACCAAAATCTGGTTTTATTTCATACAATTCAACAGTTAATCATTATTTGATTATCGTGCTTTAAATTAGATTTTTCAATATAAGAAACTTTATTTGGATTAGACAGATTTGTTCAGTGCTTTTAAGGTTATCAATTATCAGATAATTTACCAAGATACTGTCCCATTTCAGCAAATTTAGGTCCAGATGGACTCATTAGAGGTTAATAATTTTGTTACAAGTAATAGATAAGATCAATATCGATGTAAAACAGTAGCAACAGTGAAAAATTTCATAATTGAAGCAAATTTTTAACTAATCTTTTCATAATTGAAGGTCTTTGCTTCCATGATAATCTGTTACTGATTTCAATTGAATTTCATGTTGAATGCATGCATGAATCACAATAAAATTTAGATAAAATGTATATCACACTCCTTTCAAACTTCGCAATTTCAGGTGAAAAATTGGGTTCCATATTTAATTGCTATACATTTTTCCTTGTATCAATTCAAATAGATCTAATGATTAAAAATCAACATCACTCAATCAACGAGAACTAAAATGAAACTCATTATGAGTATCATTGATGACGGCGATTGTATTGTTCTTCTCACAAATGTTTATTACAGATAAATATTAGATAAACAAATATTTAATAGAACATGATAAAACAAATCAGCAAACATTGAAATTATCAAATGAAATACATTTGTACATTTCATTCAATCATAACGGTCTTGAAGACTTTTTATTGCGAAAAGTATTTACACACAGAATCATCAGATGGCGCTATAGAAACCTATTCTAACCACTAAAAGTAGCGCTTTATTCAAAACAAGTTACCCTATTTTTGCCATTAAAACATCTTTTTTTATCTGATGAATGTTTATTGCTAAAAGATTATTGATTTTCCTTCAAATTAACCCAAATTAAATTAATTTATCGATAAATTTGATCCCAGAATTTAGCATTTTTCAATATAGTTGAGATCAGCACTCAAACAGTTCGTCATAACTTACATTAGCATCTTTTTTACACAATTTTGAAGCAATTTTTGTCTTTTACCGGTTCGAGGCCCAAAGCTGTAGCATGAATAGTTCATGGATTTTGACGATCTTAATCTCTTATAACCAACATGATGACTGTTAACATTTAGAAATGTTGAGAAAAAATGAAATTCTGAAAATGAAAACAAGAAAAAGGTTTGATCGCTGAAAAAAAGACACTTAACTTCACTCCAAAAGCAAGTTACCCATTTGATGGATTAAAATGTCTAGATATAAATGGCACCCAAAAGATTAATTAAATTGTTTCCCACAATTTAATTCACTGAATCACCCTGAGCCCATTTTAGAGGCTCTTTCCGCTCATGTATTCATTGTCCTGTGACTGGGTCATGAAACATTAAGTCAACTTTGGTGTCCACTAAACCTGTCCTGGACCGCACATTAAGTGAACACACTTTCATGTTTCCAACCAAAAAAAAACTTCAACTCATCTTTTGACCTTAAGCTTCCGTTATAAAGTAATCTCTTTACTTGTAACAATAATTATGACCATTATTGTAGCTTTATTTCACTTTAATATTAAACTAATTTGCTTTCTAACCCACAACCTGATTTTGCATGATAAATATCATTGTAGACTTGAAGCTAAAATAGATGAGATTTTAAAATTGAGGTGAAAATGTTTTTTATTCATTCAAATTATGGTTGAAGCATCAAGATTCAACTGTTGGGTTAATTGAATCTAACGATGAAACAAGTTGCGAGTTGAAAATGCATATCACGGACAGTTAATGTTGGTCACACAAAAATTGAATAACCCATTGAATTGAAGGTGCGTGTAACTAGATGTGTGTCCATCATCATCTCATAATCCTGTTTAATAATCATTTTGTGAATGATAATCATCAACTTCTTGGTTTTATAAATAGTCGCTGATATACATTTACCTGTCTCTTGATATACTTACACGCACTTTTCCTACTTTCCTGTTAACCACAATCAACGGTTGCCTCATCAATTGTCCAAAACAATTAATGGTTAAATGAATGGTCAACCAAATAAAGGGCATTTGGAACGCGTGTTAAACCTATTTGTAGAGAGACAGGAATAAATTAATTAGTCAAACTCAATTAACAATCTATTCATTTATCTCTTTCACGTTGTTAGATGATTATCAACTTCTACTTTTTTTAATGAATATTTCATTTTGGAAATGAGAAAACACGGAATTCTCGATGAGTTACATGATAATTTGGACTGGATGTTTCATGTTGATGATGGTTTTCATAAACGTTGGAAAAGACGAAATTCAGATTTTCGTTTCTCTTTTTGCTTTATTTCATTTCCAGGTTTGAGGTGAAAGATTGTCAGAATTGATGAGAAAAAAAGGTAATTATGGGATTGAAGGTAAATAAAAGTGAACTTTATGAATTGCAATTGAAATTTGAGGTGAAATCGTCCAACCTGTTGAGTCAATGGAAACTTTTGGTTTCATTTAAAGTCTTGAGTTTTAAGTGTAGCGTTAAAACAGACATTAAGATTGACATCAATGAAGTTGATATTTTTTCGGACAATTTATCATTCCGCTATTTGACTGATAAAAGTTCAGCATTTTTTGTTCGCTTCTTCAAAATGGAACCAATTAAGGAGAGAAGAAAGAAAGGAAAGAAAGACTTGCTCTTTTAGGTGACCTTAGGGTAAAAAGGTTCACACAGGGTGACCTAAGGTCTTTCAATGTAAAGGGATAAAGGTTGGGTTAAAGCACAGTTTAAGTTTCACTCTAAATTAGGTGGCCAAGTGAGTTAATTAGAGAAAGAAAAAAAAGAAGAAGAAGAAAGAAGAAAATGAAAATGAAGACGAAGAGAAGCCGATGAAGCCTATCAAGAAGAAGACGAAGATGAAGATGAAAAATTATCACTATTATGTTTGAATTTCAGGCCCACTGCGAAAGGTTATAACGTTAGGTTAGGAAAGGTTTGTCTTTGACCTTTTCTCAATGTTATTCATTGGATTGGCCGAAGTAACCATTGAACACATCAATAACATCTTTTCATGGAAATGACAGAAGATAAAGAAATGGGTTCCTTTTTTAGGCCTTATTAGTGGCTATACCATATGGTCAGTATCACTGTATGAATACAAGGATTGACCCTTTGGTTAACAGGACAACAGATCCATGACACTATTGAAAGAGAGTTGAAAGGAGAATGAAAAATGTCACTTTACTTTCACTATTAAATGTAAATAAACTAATGGAACATTTAATTGAATCATAAACATTGACATTTCAATTTAAAGTAACAATTTAATCGCCATCTTTTTCATCTTCTTCCTTCTCTTGATAATAACGATGAAATGATGATAATTTTGGTCTTTTATTTTATAAGTAACAATCAAGTTGATGAGCAGATTGATTAAGATGATAGTTATACAAATCACTTGGGTGCTTTTCAAGATTACTTTATAAGTAAAAAACAAGCAAAATCCCTGAGGCTTGTAATCTTTTTCATCATCTTAATCATAAACTCATCTCTATCATCATTTTCATCTTCTTCATCTTCTTCTCTCTTCTTCTTCCCTAGTCTCATGTTCATCTCCTACTTACACCTCATTTTGTCTTGAACCAAAGTTATCATTGAAAGTTGTTTATTATAAGGTAAAAACAACTTCATCTTCAGGTCACTTTATCCCAAGTAAAATAATAACATGAATCCAAGGCCAGTTTTTATCATTATTACTCACTCAATAAGAGGTCTTCATTTTGATCTTCAATCGCTTTTTGGCCACCCAGACCTTCACCATCTCTCCACTATTTCCATCATCTTCAACATGTTGATAATAATTTTCATCTTCTCTCACTCTTCCTCCATCATCATCTTACTCCTGCCCAAGGAACCTTTAAATCATGGTTTACCTTTGATTTGGGCGAGTGAAGAAGATAAAAAGAAGTCTCATAATAGTAGCAACTTTCATCTTCCTTTTCATCTTCCTTCTCTTTCTTCTTCTCTTTCTAAAGGCGGAGGCACTTTTCTTCTTTATGCCACCCGCAGACAGACATTCTTTATATCATCATTTTCCTCATCATCATCATCTTCTCTCTCTTATTCTCTCTCTTATTATAGGAGATGAAAAGGCTGAGTGAAGATGTTAATGCCACTAAGCGGTTAGCGAAAAGTTGAAGAAGTGGTTTTCAGTTGTTGCTTGTTGCTGCACAAAGCTACATCATGTCGCTATCAAATGATCAAGTTAATTTACCTTTTCGCTGTGATTATTGCCAGCGAACCTTTAAACACAAAAGAAGTCGAGATCGACACATAAAAATTCATACAGGTAAGACTAATTGAAACTTTTATCAACTTTTGTCCATTGATTTGCAAATTTTAATTTCTTGCTTCTTCTCAACTTAGGTGATCGACGATACAAATGTAACAATTGTGAGTCTGCCTTTTCTCGAAGTGATCACCTCAAGATTCACATGAAAACTCATGACAACATGAAACCTCACCAATGTTCAACCTGTAATCGAGGTTATTCAACAGCAGCTGCATTAACATCACACATGCAAAACCATAAAAGGTCAACATTAAAAGTAAAATCAACCGTTGAATGTAAACCTTTTGTGCGTTACAAGGATAATGTTGAAAACAGTGAGGTTAAAGCAAATGTGGACAAAAAGATGATTAAGAATGGTGAAAAGAGCGTTTCACCGAGCAATTCATTGGCTGAAAGTGACCATCAAACCTGCCAACAGCAACAAGTTACCTGTGGTCTATGTGGTAACAAATGTACCTCACTTGATACTCATATAAGAGAAAGTCATCTTCATCATCTTCTTTTTGCTGGTTTACTTCAAAACTCTTTCTATGGTGCATCCATTGCTAATTGGCAACAATTAATGCCAAGTCCAACAACACCGGGATTAGTTGCTGCTGCAGCTGCAGCTGTTGCTGCATCTTCTTCATCTTCATCGTCAACATCATCTTCATCACCCACAACCAATACTTGCAACAATCTCAATCAAAATCACCAGTTTAATGAGAATCTCAAGAATGGACAATATTTAGTCCAACAATCTAAATCAAAATCATTCCCATCCAAAGCAAGTTCATCTTCACCTAATCACAATTGTGATTCAAAAGTAAATAGTTCACCTTATTGTTCATCAAATGATTCAAATATCCCTTTCTTGTGTAATCAATGTTCACCTTCACCATCATTTCCTGATTTCGAGTCATTCCGTGTTCACCTTAAATCACATCTTCTCGCCTCATCTTCATCTTCATCTTCATCATCCTTATCATCCTTATCCCCTGGATCTCTACCAACCAATTTAGATCTACTCAATCCCATTCTGGGTCCATCCATGATTCATGGTCATCATAATTTATCTCGCCATCAACAACGTTCTTGTCCATATTGTGAAACAATTGTTACCTCTGACTTGGAGAACCACATAATCAGTTCACATTTAGCTTCAACAGTATCCTCATTCACTTGTGAATCTTGTAAAAAAGTATTTACTAAATCAGATGATCTAACGAAACACCTAATGGACTATCATTCCCATCATCTGTATCAATGTTCAATTTGTCGTGAAATGTTTGATACTGATGTCACTTTACAAGTTCACTTTGCAGTTAAACATTCAAACCAATGTAAAGTATTTAAATGTTCAATTTGTAATGAACTTTGGCCAAATGAAAACGATTTCAAAGTTCACCTTAAAGTCGCTCATTTCTCAAACCCAAGTCTAGTCAACCACCACAACCTTGCTCATCAACACCAACACCAACATCAAACCACTAACGGTGTTCATCCATACTCACCAAGTGCCTATCGTCATTTACCTTCATCTTTGGTAACCTCAACGAGTAACTCAAACAATGGCAATAACACCAATCCTCATCACAACTTAACAGTTAACAGTTTAACTGCGGCAGCATTCCAACTATTTGGTCCAAAATCGTACTTCAAGTGTCAATTTTGTTCAGATGAATTCCAAATTGAATATCTATTAGAGAAACACATTGAATTTGTTCATGGACCACAATTAGCATCACACTCATTACCTTACAACCAATTGAAGCGATCAAGTCCAGCAATGGGTTCACCTAAAAGTGAACCTAAAAAGCGTAAATTGGATTCGACTAATGGAAACGATGAAATAAACATTGATTCAGATGATATTGATGAAGAGAAAGATGTCGATGAAGATGTTGTCGATACAAGTAATGATCAAAAGGAAAGTGAAACCAATGATGAAAGGTCATCTTCACCAACAAAACGTCGCCTCATTGAATCACCCAAACCTTCAACACCTTCACCAACCGAACCATTAACAACCGTAACATCATCTTCATCCTCCTCATCACCACCATCAACCTCTTCACCAATCCTTGGTAAACCCGGTAAAAGCTCAATAAAATGTGTTAAAGGTGATTATCTCAATTTTTATAGCCCACTTTGGACTCCTTATACTCGACTCATTCAATCCTCAGCAACTTCATTGATGATTAATTAAGTTACGAGATTCATGTTCAATAAATCTCTTGACTTGACTATTCCAATCAACATTTAAAGCATGATTAAATGAAACTCATTGTAAACCAACATTTGTTATTGAACTAAAAATAAAAATTGAAATTAACTTTTCATTTTTGCATGTTTTCAATCCTTTCCTTTTGTCAATTAACTCTTCGGGTGTTAAAGCAAATGATTCAATGGGAATGGTAAATCATCGGCTTTTGGGTTAACTTTTGGGTCTTGCGGTTATAATTAGTGGAATCATGAGACAATTTAATCTTGTTTCATCAAAATTTATTTGCTTTCATAACTAATCCAAGTTTATTATCCATTTAACCATTTAATTGCCCTTTGAAACAATTTAAAATTAATTTGTTAATTTGTTCACATTTCTCTCAAGGTTCACAGATAACTTGGACTATTGAGACAATTCATGGATGTTGAAAAAGGATCAATCAATGGATTTACAGGGAATTTTGTAAAACACCAAATTTTATATCCAAATGGTATTTCATAAAGCTTATAAATCATTTTGTTATTTAATTGTAATTTGATTAAAAGAACTTTGAAAAATTAAAATTCTGAGCAAACGTTCAATTTGCGTTTAAACTTGGACTTCACCTTTGGCAATCGGAATCAAAGTCATTTATTTATTTATCATTAAATGCTAATGATGGTTGAAGCAATGAATGTTCAGAACTCTTTTTGTTCAGTTTTTAAATAGTTTTCAGGTTGAGACCTTTTATTGCGACTTTTGGCAAAAGTATAAATGAAGTTGAGTGTCAAAAAGGCAATTTCAATTGGTTATGCTGTGGTTTCTTTTGTGGGTCAACTCTTATTGTCCATTGTATTTTCAAGATTAAAGATGAGTTTAAATGAAAGCGTAACTTGAATCCATTTCAATGGACAGTGAACATCTAATGAAGAAACAGTCTTAATTAACAGATTTGCCTTCTTCTTAAACTGGTTAATTAGATTAATTTATGAGCTAGAAAAGGCAATCAACAAGTTTTCATCTTTCAAAGTAAACTTTCCCTTTGCTTCTGGTCATTTCAGTGGCCAATGTTTACCTCTCTCTATGCCAAGGATGAGAAGGTAAAAAAGGTTGATAAACTAGAAATGATTGGTTCCACTTGCCAATTACCTTTAACCTTAAAGGTTAACTCACAAGATTGAGATGTAAATGTAACCAATTCAATAGGAATGGGCAAGTTTCAAGTTGCAAGATAAAAGAAACGCTAAAAAAAGGTAAACATTTCCTAAGGTGACATGAAGAGAATGTAAATTAACATGTAAAAATGAAATGAAATGCACTTTTTGATGGATCAAATGGAAAATAGAAAAAGAATGGAAATGTTTTTGGAAATTGAGTTAAACTGACCTTCTCTTGACCCATGTATTTCTGTTACATTACACCAAATCAAAGCACCTAAACTATAACCTTAAAGGCCCTTAGGCTGGAATAGCATCAATTACAAGTTACCAGAATTGAGATGTAACTTTGAATTGCTTTTCCAGACTCAACCATTTATTTTCATTTTAGCAATTAGTTAGTTTTTTGATGCAATTTGAATTGAGTCGCACAAATATGTGTTATAAGTGTATATTGATAGTAATCTGAGTAGATGGAATTTAATATGAAAATGATGAAAATTGAGAATCAATCAAATGATTTTGATCAACAATCAACACTCAAAGTTAACTTGAACAAGTAAACTCTATTCTTGTCTGTTTCCTCTGTAAAACTGGTTCCAATGACGATCATCGCTCCAACAATACCTGTAACTTACTTGGAGGTCCTTTTAAGTGCCTTAACAGGTAAGCAAAGGAACAATCATAAACATTTCTTTTTTCATTGTTGAGCAATTCAAGCCAACGATAAGTCCAGTCGGACATGCAGTTAAAGGATCATTTCAATTGAACAGATAATCAGTTGAAGCAAATCTTACACAGTCAATAAAGCGCTTCAATAATTTCACCTTTTTTTAGATCAACTTCAACTTATTAATCGTTTAAGCACTTTACATCTTTAAGTAACTATAAATGTTTATGTTTCAAATTAAAACTCAGTTTACCATGAAAGTAAACATTTTTTCACCATTTCCGATCTTTTGTTTGCTTTTTGTTGTATTTTGATTAAGATTCATCCAAAGATTCATTCACTGGTTAACTTGTTCAATTGTTATATAAAAGTGTTTTTGTTTTTAACTTTTCATTGGAAATTTCATCTTCTTTATTCAATTCTATTTGATTTAAGGGAAATAAAGAAATGATTTCAACCGTTTAACACATTTTGAAGCTATTCAGATGAAACTGTACTTTGTTTTTTCATTAAAGATCACGAATTGTTCTGGTCAATCCAAATGATTATAATGAAACTGTCCAAGAAGACAAACTTTGAAATACAACTTTCGTTGTCCATGATTGTTACATGCAATATCAGTTAACCTGTAAGTTATCTTTCAGTAAGAAGCTCAATAAAGTCTAATGAAAAGATCCGAATCGAAATTTGATTCCTAAACTAAATAAAAGTTTTTAATATGAAAAATTTAAAAAAAAGTCTTATTATTTATTGTTATTATTATATGCAATTACTGAGTAATTATGATTAATGGATTGTAAGTTAATTGTTTTTAATGATAATCATTTCAACATGAAAACATATTAAACATAATTTCGTTATTCTTATCATCACCATCATATAATAACAATTTCAGTGTTTTACTCAAATAGTAAAATAATTTATTGTTTGATCCAGTTTGAAGCCACCAACAAAGTCAATGCTAATTCAAACCTCAATGTTTGTTCAAACTGAATTCATTTGATATTGATATTGATTGACTTTAAGTTTAACTAAAGGTATTCATTTCAATTCAATGTTTACTTATTTTTTGACTTTTTTTTCTTCTTCTTCATATTTAATCATAAAAGTGTACAGTTTTTGATGAATTTACTGAAAAGATTAAAGTAAAGGAAAGCAAAGTAAATGTGATCACCTTAAAGCACACCTTAAAATGTGATCATAAATTGAAAGCTTTTTGTTCATCATTTACTGTAAATAAAACAAAGCTTCTTAAGAAGGCGATGAAACTATTGAATGACCTTTAAGACATTTGGTCTTGACTCGTTGCTCTTCCTTCGAGTGTTTACTCCCAGTTATCACCTCCTATAAACAGCTCAGGTAAGAAGCCAAATATTTGCATCGATTGTGCCTCTTTAATAAAAAGCTTACAGCTTAGCACCTGAGTGTCACTTTGAAGGTACAACCTTCAATATTCAATTACACTGTTGATTCGTTCAAAGATTCAAACCAGATTCCAAGTGATTCAAGTTTTCCAATTAAAATTGAGTTTTCGGGTGAAAATGAAATAAAGATTTGAATGGGAAAAGGAGCGAAACAAAAGGAAGATCAAAAAGTGTCATTTTACTTGTAACTGTCAAATGTAAATGTGTTTCAAAAACAAAATAACTCAACTTTTTTGGTTCCTTTTTTGTACAGTTTACCTAATCAAACTTAAGAAGCTTAACATTTTTTAAGTTTACGGTCAAAATTGTTGAAAAAGCAAGTTTAAATGTAAAAAAATGTTCCTAAAACAGTCACTCCTTTGAAATGATTATCTGTAAACAAATCAACAGTAATTCTTATTTTAGTTGTTTTTTATGATTGATTGAATGATTATAGTTTTGAACACAGTTTTGCTTGTTCAAAATCATATGGAAACGGTTATCCACTTATTATTAGCAATGTTATTGACTAAAAGTATAAAAATGCTGAAAATCTTACTTTAAAATCATTGGATTTTTGGTTACAAAACATATTGAAATTAGCGCCTAAAAAATTTAACCGGTAAAAGAAGAGCAATGACGAGACATTTTTGAGGCGCCATAGAAACTCTTCTGATTCAATCTGTTGTTCAATTTCATTTATTTATCCGATCTTAAACGGAATTTGAAGATTATTTTCTGATATTTTCTGAATTATTGTTCGATAAATGGTCAGGTGAAAGCAGCTCACAGTGATTCAAGAAAGCCAAGTTTCGTGTTAAACATCCAAATGACGAGCAGCAATAGGATATGATTTACAAAGACATGGGATACAATAAATGTGTAAATGAATTTGGATTGTCCTGTATTGTTTGTTGATTTGCTGATTTACATTGGATATTATTGCCGATTCAATGCAGTTTGGTGCTAAGAAAGTAAGATTATTCATGATTTGAATCATCAACATTTATTGTATTTTGTAAACACTTGTAAGGCAACTCAATGAATATGTTGGTTACATTGATTAATCCATTATTATTGAATGTAAAAGCTGCTCCTTTTGCCTTCAACAAAAGCCTTTTACCTTTACCCTTAAGTACCCATTTTAAGATTCATTTTGAAACCTTTTTTAAGATTATTTCCTTGTCCATGTTAAATTGTCTGTCCATAATACACTTTCAATCTGCTTACTATTATTTGACCACTCCATTGACCCATATCAATCCATCCATATATTTATCAAGGTCAACTCTTTACTTTTTCCTATTTCCTTTCTTCCCTTTCCTGGACATCTTTCTCCTCCTTCTTTCCCCTCCTCCTCCTCCTCCTTCATCATCATCATCATCATCATCATCATCATCGTCTTCCTTCGCCCAACTCATTTTAACCATTTCAAGTCCATTAAATTGCTTTTGTGGGCAACAACAAAACCCTATTCAATAACCAATCATTGTAACAATTTCATCTTCATTTCAGCCTCTTTTAACTTTAACATTTTCCATTCACATGAACCAATGTAATATGAAAAGTGATTCAAACGGAACCACGCAGTTGACCTTACCTTGTTTAGTCCTTTATTAAACCCTTTATTATACACAGAAAAAGTGAGATGAGCTAACCTATTGACCTTTCACTTTCATTGAAAAATATTTAAATTCAAATGTCCATTTCACTTTCCTTTTATAATCTTTTTCTTCTTTTTTTATTCTTTTCTTCTTCTTGTTAGAATCTACGGAAATGGCCGGAAGTAACCCAATTCCAGGTTGACAAGATAACAAATGTTGAAACATGTTAATCTGGTTATAACATGAAATTGATAGACTTTCATTGTTTCCAAATTAAATATCCGTTCCATGTTAACCAAGCAAACACTAACAATTGGTAATCTTGGTTTAATCCAGTTTCTCAAGACATTTGGATGGATTGGAAAACTGTTGTTCAGTTGATTGTTCAATGATAAAAGAGGAAAGGAAACATTGGAATAGCCTTAAGGCCTCTTCTCCTCGTTCAAGACCAAAAGAGGTGTTCACTATGGAACAAAGACTATGGACAGAGAAAAGATGACCGTTTGAAAGATGAATATTAGGTTAAGATTAAACTTCCCTTGAGTCTAATTAGGAAAAGAAGAAGAAAAGACAATTAGAGAATTTACCTGAAAGAAATGGAATCTAAATCAACTAACGATACTTAATTATCCCAAGTCTATTTGGCCCTTTGCTTCTCACCCATCAACAGGTAACAATAAATTAGCATTCACTATGCACCATATTGTTATCGTTAATACCTTTTCCCATTTCATCTCAAGACTAGAAATGCATCTCAAGCTGCTTCAATTTCAAAGCACACAAAACAAAGTTATATGATTCAACTGACAAGGAAAGGTGAAAATAATTTGAATTTAAACTCAATGGAATGAAACCAAGACAATTAGCCAATGAACATCTATGAACAATAAGAAATTGATTGAATCACGGATGTTATTGAAATATTCAATTGATGAAAAGCAAGATGGGAATGACCACAATCCATTATTGGCTTGGGTGGAAAGCGAATCAAAGACGGTTGTAATTATACAATAATTATTATATTACTGTTAACTTAAAGGTGGACAATTTACACGGCAATGGCAATGTTAAACCTACAACAATCAATAGATATTTTACGATGATTCAACCCAGCTAATTAACAGGTTAAAGCGCAAGTGGCAATCATTGAGAGATAACAATAACAGATTTGATGGAAACACCTAAACAACAAATAAGAGATTTCAATGGATCAATGAATTACCAACAAAAAGATCCTGTTCAAGAACGTTAATTAACATTCACAAAGCTCAATATTGATTGTGATTGCATCTTTTATTCATCTTCAACTGAAAAGGTAAAATATCATTTTAACATCAATCGATGACCTTATTTAACCTTAACCACATTTCGTGTTAAACTGACATTAATTATTGAAACATTGTTATGATTTATTATCGTCAACAGATGAGGACCACAAAAATGGCTACAAATAATTGGTGTTGAGGTGACGCATCATAATTAACTGAATCACTGGTTGAAACTGGAATGAAAGAGAGCACAAGATAAGGTCATCTTGGACATAAGACGTTGACTTTGGCCACCAATTTTGATTACAAAGGCAATTGTAACATAATCACAACATTGATCCACTATGAAGGGCTTTACAAATGTTTAAAAAAAGGTTAACTTGGCTGTTGGTATCAATTGAATTGCGGATAATAGTGATTAAATGATCATAGCCATGCAATTGTTTGAATGATTGAGCTTGATGTAATTGCGTATATAAACCAATTTAACTTTGATTGTTCCCTTGATTCAGTTAAATGGTTATTCATCTCTAACCGTGACACATTCCAATGTCAATCTATTCAACTAATAATGATAATAATGATCATCAGTTGATGCTAAATTAAGGAAACAATGAAAGAAACATTCAAGAATCATTTGAGAATCGCAAAGGCAAAAAAAATGATGAATCGTAAAATTGAATGAATGTTGTCATATTGAATGAACCATTTGTTGCAAGATTGATTAACTTTTACTGATTTATGTAATTGCAAAATTGAGAGTAACTTCAATTTTTTTCCCTGACTTTGATCAAGTTTTCATGATAAAGTCTCACAGAAAAAAAGTGAATCCAATAAGTGTCTTTGATTGTAGGAAAGTAGTTTTTTATTCTGGTTTGACCTTAACCTTTCAAGTTGTTTGGTACTGAGAAGGAGTGATTGGTCAAGAGAATGAAAAATAACACAAAAAGATGTTTTTTTTTACTAACTTGCATCTTCATTTGTGGTCCTAAAGATGAGGATTAAGAGGATGAAAAGACCACCCAGCAATAGCTTAATAAACCTTATCGTTTGTTAGCGGCTTTTCATCCTTGTTTGGGCAAAATGGCCTCTGACATTAAAAAATATGTTATCATAACTTTGAACATCCTTTCACCTTTTCAAGAAGGAAAAGCCATTCATTACTTTCACTTTGATGATTGAATGCATAGATTTTGTAATTTCAGTGCTTTTCAGGGGAAAATGTTTCCATTTCAACCTTTGATTTGGATCATTATTTTTCTCAATTTTAATCATTGAAATATTTGGTAACTTTGTCTTTAATTTAGTTTGATTTTTCATGATTAGAATTTTTCTTTTTTTCTGAAAAAAAGCAAAACAAAAGATTCTAATGATCAGATTGGGTTAACAATCATTAAGGTTTGCATGGTCAGATTTATAGTGAGGGTAGATAACAATAAGATTGAGATGTTAACGTTTGAGATGATGATGAAGATAGATGAAAAGAAATAGGTTTGACCGATGATAATTTGGTAAAGGATGATCATACCCATTGGGGTTTAATACATCAAATCAACAAGAATTAACAACAAGATTAAGATGCTCAAGGTAACTGCGAAACTAATTCGCCTTGTCTACCAATTTTTACCTTTCATTTTTCCTTTTGCTTCTCTTTGTGTTTACTCTTTGCTTAGCAAAGGTAAAATGGATTCACCTTTAACATCTTAACCAATTTTGACCTTTTTTTGTGATCAAGCTTAAACAAGTAAAATGTTACCTTTGCAGATGAAAAAAAGGTTGCAAATTTTAAAATGGAACCAATTAAGGAGAGTAGAAAGAAAGGAAAAGAAAGACTTGCTCTTTTAGGTGACCTTAGGGTAAAAAGGTTCACACAGGGTGACCTAAGGTCTTTCAATGTAAAGGGATAAAGGTTGGGTTAAAGCACAGTTTAAGTTTCACTCTAAATTAGGTGGCCAAGTAAGTTCATTAGAGAAAGAAGAAAAGAAGAAGAAGAAGAAAGAAGAAAATGAAAATGAAGACGAAGAGAAGCCGATGAAGCCTATCAAGAAGAAGACGAAGAAGACGAAGATGAAGATGAAAAATTATCACTATTATGTTTGAATTTCAGGCCCACTGCGAAAGGTTATAACGTTAGGTTAGGAAAGGTTTGTCTTTGACCTTTTCTCAATGTTATTCATTGGATTGGCCGAAGTAACCATTGAACACATCAATAACATCTTTTCATGGAAATGACAGAAGATAAAGAAATGGGTTCCTTTTTTAGGCCTTATTAGTGGCTATACCATATGGTCAGTATCACTGTATGAATACAAGAGATTGACCCTTTGGTTAACAGGACAACAGATCCATGACACTATTGAAAGAGAGTTGAAAGGAGAATGAAAAATGTCACTTTACTTTCACTATTAAATGTAAATAAACTAATGGAACATTTAATTGAATCATAAACATTGACATTTCAATTTAAAGTAACAATTTAATCGCCATCTTCTTCATCTTCTTCCTTCTCTTGATAATAACGATGAAATGATGATAATTTTGGTCTTTTATTTCGTAAGTAACAATCAAGTTGATGAGCAGATTGATTAAGATGATAGTTATACAAATCACTTGGGTGCTTTTCAAGATTACTTTATAAGTAAAAAACAAGCAAAATCCCTGAGGCTTGTAATCTTTTTCATCATCTTAATCATAAACTCATCTCTATCATCATTTTCATCTTCTTCATCTTCTTCTCTCTTCTTCTTCTTCTTCTTCCCTAGTCTCATGTTCATCTCCTACTTACACCTCATTTTGTCTTCAACTAAAGTTATCATTGAAAGTTGTTTATTATAAGGTAAAAACAACTTCATCTTCAGGTCACTTTATCCCAAGTAAAATAATAACATGAATCCAAGGCCAGTTTTTATCATTATTACTCACTCAATAAGAGGTCTTCATCTTCTCTCTCTTTACAGTCATTCACTCACCTTGACGTAGGTCAATTGTAATAACCAAATTGTTGGGCGATTTACTTTGATACTTGATTCTTTCATGGTGGCATTCAGAATAATATTCAATAAGATGATAATCATAATGGATTCAGGGTGGTTCTAATAGATGATGTCTCTATTAGAAGAATCATTTCACCTGCTTCCCTGAGGGCAAAAAAAATCTTCTCTTTTTTTTCTTTCTTCATTTTCTTCTTTCTCATCTTCATTATATCTTTCACCCTCAATTGCCTTCTCACTCTTGGCCACCCCTTGGCTTCTCTCTCTTCTCTCTCTCTCTTCTTCCCTATCATCATCATCTTCATCATCGTCTTATTCATACCCAAGGAACCTTAAATCATGGCTTACCTATAATTTGGGCGAGTGAAGAGAGAGAGAGAGAGAGAAGATAGTAGCATCTTCATCTCTCTCTTTGCTCCTCTTTACCATTACAGTTGAAAGTTATAATTTACATTGGTTTGAAAATAAATTACCCAAAATTGAGATGTCAGGTCAACTCTCCAATCTAATGAAGACATTTTGTTTTCCCATCTCATAGCATCTCAATTACATCGAGACTTAAACAAACACATGTGAACCCAAAGAGCAACATTTTTCAATGGCAAATGTTGAAAAAAGTGTGATGAATCAATAAAACAATGAACAAGTATTTGTTCAATTGTAAACAATTAAAAAAATTGAAATGAAAAAAAAAGAATGTGTGATGAAGAAGCAAGAAAAAAATGTCAAAAATTGGCAAGAAACAGTGAAGGTTATCAAGGTGTTTCAATGTGCTTTTACCTTGTTCAAGGAACGTGAAAAAAGAAGGATTGAAACCCATGAAGATAAAGAGGTAAAAGCAAGGCACTAATAAAGTAAGAAAAGTGGATAATAAAGAAAGAAGATAAACAAGAATGGAAGACTTGGACCACCCTAAATGACCAGTGGAGGCACCCTCCTAAGCCACCCGCAGACAGAAAGCCTTATCTTCTCTCTTTCTCCTTTTATTTCTCTTCTTCTTTTCTTCTCTTCTTTTTTACCTTTCTCTTCTTTTCCCTTTTCCCTTGCCTTTTCTCCTTTCCACAGATGAAAAAGATGGTAAAGAAGATGTTGTTAGCACCCGAGATGCTTTAAGTGGCTTTAAACTCACATTTTTACCAAAATTGTTTCTCAGTTGAAAACTTGCTGTTGCTTGGATCGTCTGCTTTTCTGGTTCCTCCATCTTGCTGTAAACCTGGCTTTAACTTACAATGTCTTTATCGTCTGATCAACTTGATTCCTCTTTTCGCTGTGGCTTTTGCCATCGAATGTTTAAACACAAACGAAGTCGAGATCGCCACATTAAAATTCATACCGGTAAGTTAATCCAACATTCAAATTCCATTGTTTTTACCTTTTAAAAAGATAACTAGAAAAGCTAACATTTTTTATTCTTTTTTTGGTTTACTTTAGGTGATCGCCGTTATAAATGTAACCATTGTGATTCAGCTTTTGCTCGTAGTGATCATCTCAAGACTCACATGAAAACTCATGATGATATGAAGCCTCACCGTTGTTATCCTTGTAATAGAGGATTTTCATCGTCTGCTGCTTTAACATCACACATTCAAAACCATAAAAAAGCAGCTCTAAAGGCAAAGACTACTCTTGATGAATGTAAAAATGTTGCTGAACCTAAAAGTATTCCTGAACAAGAAAATATTCCTGTTAACAAAAGTTCAAATATTCAGAAGGAGGAAAAGGCTGAACAGCAACAAGTAACCTGTGGCTTATGTGGTAACAAATGTACTTCACTTGACACACATATAAGGGAAAGTCATCTCAATCAACTTATTTTTGCTGATCTGCTTCAAAACTCTTTCTATGGTGCTTCGCTTGCTAACTGGCAAAAGTTGATTCAAACTCAAGTTCATTCTGAATCTTCATCGTCGTCTTCAGCTTATGAAAGAACACCAAATTCTAGCCCAATTCAACATGTACTTTCTACTCCGAACTTTCATAATGAATACCTTCATCAACAACGTTCTTGTCCATATTGTGAAACAATTGTTACCTCTGACCTGGAGAATCACATAATCAGTTCACATTTAGCGTCAACTGTATCCTCATTCACCTGTGAATCTTGTAAAAAAGTATTTACTAAATCAGATGATCTAACGAAACACCTAATGGACTATCATTCCCATCATCTGTATCAATGTTCAATTTGTCGTGAAATGTTTGATACTGATGTCACTTTACAAGTTCACTTTGCAGTTAAACATTCAAACCAATGTAAAGTATTTAAATGTTCAATTTGTAATGAACTTTGGCCAAATGAAAACGATTTCAAAGTTCACCTTAAAGTCGCTCATTTCTCAACCCCAAGTCTAGTCAACCACCACAACCTTGCTCATCAACACCAACACCAACATCAAACCACTAACGGTGTTCATCCATACTCACCAAGTGCCTATCGTCATTTACCTTCATCTTTGGTAACCTCAACAAGTAACTCAAACAATGGCAATAACACCAATCCTCATCACAATTTAACAGTTAACAGTTTAACTGCGGCAGCATTCCAACTATTTGGTCCAAAATCGTACTTCAAGTGTCAATTTTGTTCAGATGAATTCCAAATTGAATATCTATTAGAGAAACACATTGAATTTGTTCATGGACCACAATTAGCGTCGCATTCATTAGCTTACAATAAAATGAAAAGATCAAGTCCCAATATGGTCTCACCTCATTTAAGTGAATCTAAAAAGCGTAAATCAGATTCAACTGATGGAAATGATGACATAAATGTTGATGATGATGATACTGATGATGAGAAAGATGTTGATGAAGATATTGATGATTCAAGTAATGACAAGAAGACTGGAAATAGCATTGATGAAGAAAGGTCATTTTCCCCACCGAACCTAAGAATCGTTGAATCACCTCAACATTCAACACCATCTCCACCCTTTACATTTTCATCAATCTTTACTAGACCTGGTAAGAGCCCAATGAAATGTGTTAAAGGTGATTATATCAATCTAAATAATCCCATTTGGACTCCTTATACTCACCTCATCCAAAGTTCAGCAAACTCATTGATGATTAATTAATATAAAATATTATTTTCAATTTAAATTGTAAAAATGTAAGCTCATTTTAACCATTTGATGTAAAAACATTTTTTGTTACTGAACCAAGTTCCAATAAAAATTACTTTTCAAATATCAACACTTGCATTACTTTATTAAGATTAACCTGATACGAATTTAATCAAATAATTAACAAATTTCAATTTCATCTTGAATCTCAATCGTCAAACCATTGGAAACAATTAAAGATCTAAATTCATTGAAAATTACTTGGTTCGTTAGAAAGAGCAATTAACATTAAAAATAATTTCTCATCATCAGTATCAAAGGCAAGAAATAATTTGTCTCTGGTTATTAAATTAATTACAATTGCAACTGAAGAACCACATTTTAATGAATTGATGTTCGCCTTGAAGGATGAAGGTAAAGAAGCCTCATAAACAGTGAACATCTCAAGACATCTGTAGGAATCCATACAGATCCATGTTTCCATTTCAATCGTTTCCTTCATTTCATCCACAAATGATTCATTAAAGATTAAATCTATAATGGCAAGACCTCCAACTGAAGGAATAAAGGTGATTCCATCTTCAGTCTCAGGGTGTTTCATCCCTCAATTGCGGATCCAGGATAGCAAATAATTAATGGCAATGACAAGGCGAACTTTAATTTTAAAAATTTATCATTCAGATTCCAATCTGTTCATAACGAAACTCAAAAATTGAAACATGGGTGATCCTCAGGTTCCACTCCTTGTACTTTGTTTTCATCCTTCTTTCAGATTCTCCTCCCTCATCATCATCATAATAGCATTTCCATCCACCTTCAGTCCGATTCTGTGAGTTTCAAGAAACCAGTCAAAACAAGTCAACATGTTAACTCACCTCAGGATGAAAACTTCCATGATTATTAAACTTCTATTTCCATGTTTAATTTTCACTTTCAGCCTTTCGTTTGTGGTTAAAACCCGAATCTTGATTGATAATCAAGTTGAATATCTTTTACTTTCATCAATCAACAGATTGTCACCCAGAAAACATATTAATTATCCATTGCGTTTCCTTCAAACCATTAGTCTTGAAAGAAATAATTAGCTGAATCCAATCATTTCCAGTATTAAACAAAAGTAAATTGACAATGGTTAAAATCAGTCAATCAAAAACACAATTAGCCATTTAAATGATCAACAAGTACTAATTAATCTGTATTGAACCATCAAACAATTGTAGTTAATGTCTCACAATGAATTTAACTTTAAAATTGAAAGCCTGACCAACACCTAAAACCCAATTTAACCGTTCAAGACTAACCTCTTCAGCCAAAGGCTTCACAGGACATTAAAACTCTCCTTTAACTAACAATATTTGCTCATCAATTAGCTGATTTAATGAAAGTCACAATTGAGGAAAATAGCATTTCATTAATCACATTGGACTCGCATGGAGCAACACTTTATGGGTAAATCAAACAACAACCAACCATGAATAATATCAATCATTTTCTTTAACCAAAAATGCATTTAAATTGTAGATGAAATAATGATCAATAATGGGCAACAATAATCTTGAAACAACCACTTAAAACCACTCACATTTCAACTCTTTTCATCCTTTCCTTCCAACACTATCCTCTTTGTTTCAATCTTATCCTCATGAGCATTCACCTCATCTTTATCCTTTCCACTTTTCACTTTTTTGCCTCCATTCTTTACCTTCGTATTCACCTGAGAATTGATTCATCAATTGATAGACAATGATGGATTATCAATTCTCATCGGAATAATGTTCATTTTCTTGTCCCAAAAGCATTGACACTACCTTGCAACAAGGCTCACCTTTAATCTTAGATAACCCGAATGTTCATCCTGCTTAAACAAAACCCTTTCTTGATCTTTGTCAATCACAAGTTTCGTCTTTTGTTTTAACATTGTTACACTTTTGCCATCATTCAGGACAAGATAATGTTCATTGAGAGGCACTTTTCCTGGTTAATTGTTGGTGGTTTTTGGCTCCTTTTACCATTAAGATTGTAACTCTAGCAACAAATGATTCAGTTTTTTTCCAAGTCTCATGTTTTACTGATTTAACCATTAAATTGATTGAAATTAATTGCTTGGAAAATGCAGACGAACAGTAATTGTTGCATCTTGACTCGATTGGTTAACTCAATTGTAAACATCAATTGACGCTTATCTTTCATGTGAATCTATTGCCACTTAATTACAAACTGTTAATTGTTTTTTGCCAACATTTAAAGTATTATATTGATTAGGAACCATTACATTGGAGTTGGTAACAGGCAAAAGTGTAAACAAAAGCTAAACTTGAAAGGACAAAATATTGAAAACTGAACGTTTCTATTGCTTTGGGTTGAACTGGATGAATGGAAAGCTAAATTGTGTTGAGAAAGGAATACATTTTAGGGTTTCTTTTGTGGGTCAACTCTTATTGTCCATTGTATTTCAAGATTAAAGATGAGTTTAAATGAAAGCGTAACTTGAATCCATTTCAATGGACAGTGAACATCTAATGAAGAAACAGTCTTAATTAAGAGATTTGCCTTCTTCTTAAACTGGTTAATTAGATTAATTTATGAGCTAGAAAAGGCAATCAACAAGTTTTCATCTTTCAAAGTAAACTTTCCCTTTGCTTCTGGTCATTTCAGTGGCCAATGTTTACCTCTCTCTATCCCAAGGATGAGAAGGTAAAAAAGGTTGATAAACTAGAAATGATTGGTTCCACTTGCCAATTACCTTTAACCTTAAAGGTTAACTCACAAGATTGAGATGTAAATGTAACCATTCAATAGGAATGATATCATTCATGTAAAGAAAACTGAAAAAACCTAAAAAATGAAATATTTGAAAAATGAAGGATTGATGGAAATTGAAATTGAACAAAAACTAATGAAATGAAAGTCGACTTTTGATGGATTGGGAAACGAGTCAAGTGAAGGTTCACTTTTTTTTGCTTCACATTTTCCTTTGTTTTTGGGCTTCAAAGTGACCATTATATGGATAATATAATGATTTAAGGTGCTCTTTGATTGTCCAACTTGAAGAGTCATAAAGTTAACCTTGCTCGACCTCCTACTTGTTTGTATTTGAAGGCCTTTCAATTGGTCAACTATTGGTTGGCACTAAAAGATGAAAGGAAAGTCTGAATATTTTTGAAACTCTTTTTAGGTGTTTTAGTGTCTTTAAGAGGGAGTAAACTGGATGATATGATGAGACCTCATGTAGAGTCAGTCAAACTGATTTGTGTTTAGAGTTTTATTTCAGGGTGAATTTAAGGTTTACCTGTTGATAAACGCCACAGGAATCGGAAAGAGAATCCATTGTTGATCATTTTTCAAGATTACCTTTTTTTTATAACTTTGATCCAGTTTGCATCTTCACTTAAACAAAGATTACTCCTTGGAACAACAGCAAAATTATGAATGAAAGTGTTGATCTTACAATGTAATCTGTTTCATACCATTTATCATAACATCATACAAATGCTAAAGTCTTTCTTGATACAAAATTTACTCTGATTTTTCCGTACTAAACATTTGAACACTGAGCGACATTTCATTCAAAACACAAAAATCGCCTTAAACGTTCAGTTCAAAACATGAACCATTCTTTAGACACATTGAAAATAGTTCAAGAAACTCCCAGTTTTTAAATAGTTCAAGAAACTCCCAGTTTTTCAGCTACATAAGATAATAATGTAAATGCGATAACTCTTGACTCATGAGCAAACTCAATAGCATTTCTATAGGAAGTTATAACCATTAGGGCTGAACAATATCTGATGTAAAATAGAGTTACCTGTATGGCTCAGACAAACATGAAATTTATCAATTCATGTAAACGGAATGTGTGAAACAACAGCAAATAATTGAATAACCTAAAAATCGCTGTAATCCGATTTGCACCTTAAAAAGGTCAACAATATTTTTACAATAAATTCATTCTAATCAATGTTGCTTACTTTAAAATGTAATAATTGATTATAAATTGAAATATAAATATTCATAATAAACATGAATAGAAGGATATTTATTATGAAAAGTTAAATGAACAAAATGATAATCAATCAAATGATTTTGATCAACAATCAACACTCAAAGTTAACCTGAACAAGTAAACTCTATTCTTGTCTGTTTCCTCTGTAAAACTGGTTCCAATGACGATCATTCCTCCAACAATACCTGTAACTTACTTGGAGGTCCTTTTAAGTGCCTTAACAGGTAAGCAAAGGAACAATCATAAACATTTCTTTTTTTCATTGTTGAGCAATTCAAGCCAACGATCAGTCCAGTCGGACATGCAGTTAAAGGATCATTTCAATTGAACAGATAATCAGTTGAAGCAAATCTTACACAGTCAATAAAGCGCTTCAATAATTTCACCTTTTTTTAGATCAACTTCAACTTATTAATCGTTTAAGCACTTTACATCTTTAAGTAACTATAAATGTTTATGTTTCAAATTAAAACTCAGTTTGCCATGAAAGTAAACATTTTTTCACCATTTCCGATCTTTTGTTTGCTTTTTGTTGTATTTTGATTAAGATTCATCCAAAGATTCATTCACTGGTTAACTTGTTCAATTGTTACATAAAAGTGTTTTTGTTTTTAACTTTTCATTGGAAATTTCATCTTCTTCATTCAATTCTATTCAATTTAAGGGAAATAAAGAAATTATTTCAACCATTTAACACATTTTAACACACATTTTGAGACTATTCAGATGAAACTGTACTTTGTTTTTTCATTAAAGATCACGAATTGTTCTGGTCAATCTAAATGATTGCAATGAAACTGTCCAACAACGAGACAGAAAAATTGCAAGTTAGCTGTGTGTCCAAATGGTTTACTCTTTCTTAAAAATGACTCTGGACATTGCTTTCAACTTAAGTTTAGTCAGCGCAGGTCAAAAAGCTTCCTAGGCTGAAAATGTTTAATATTTCAGGCTTAGAGACCCAAACAAGCATTGTTTTGACCGCATTTTCTTGTGATTTTATTTACAAAGCCAAATGAACATCGATTCTCTGTTGTCTTTGATCTATCAAAGCTTTATTTAAAATGAGTGAAAACGGTGATTATCCCAGTGAAGTTACTATCAAAGTGAGACTTAGTGATGAGGATTACCAAGATATCCACATTGACTGGTCAGATGAAAGTCATGAACATAAACAGCAACTATTCATTGAAAAGGTAAAATTTCTAGATTTCCCTCTACCATTCAATGTTTAAACTTATTGATAAATTATTATTTTCCACTAATCATAGATTGCATCTTTCATTGGAATAGCAGCTGATTACATAAGGTTCATAGCATTAGATATGCCAAATATTTCAGTAATCGATAACCATATTTTCAATATAGAGAGTCATTATATCAGAAGACGGCCGTCCCTTCGCGTAGTGAATGATATTTTCATGCAATTCATCAATGATGGCGATTCTTTCTTCATTTGTCCACTTTTGGGTTTAATAGATCCTGAATTTCCTTTTGATTTATGTATCGTTCTTGTCGCCTCAGAACGTGCAGGTATCCAACCAACAGAATGTACTCCATCCTATTGTAAAATCCTAAATACTAGAGCCTTGCTGAATAGAAAGAAAGCAATCATTTTCAATTCAGAACTTCTTTCAAAAGTTAAAGCTGCTTTTACTGAGGAAAGATTCCAAGGCCAGAATCAATGGTTGAACATTTTACTCTACTTCAATATCTTACAACATTTCAATACGTGTTGTCGCTACAATAGGATGAGACAAAAGCGCCTTTATTTACCGAATCGAGGTTGATCTCAGGATTGGTTTCATCGTCAATATCCTTAACCTTTGTGGCATGTCAGAACTAATTTTTGAAGTTCAGTTTTGTAAAATTTAAGATAAATAAAGAAATCATTTTTACCCATTTAATCAATGAATAGTTTCCTTTACTTTGGTCAAATCTTTTGTTTCATTGAAGATCACGAATTGTTCTGGTCAATCTTAATGATTATAATGAAATTGTCCAACAACAAGAAGACAAACTTGGAAATGCAAATTTGATTCTCGATTATTGTTATTATATGCAATTACTAAGTAATCATGATTAATGGGCTGTAAGTTAATTGTTTTTAATGATAATCATTTCAACATGAAAACATATTAAACATAATTTTTTTATTCTTATCATCACTATCCAGCACTTAATCATATGCATTTCAATTTACAATTTAAACAATTGAAATTAAACTCAATTTTGCTCAAGATAATTGCCAAGTCAAAGATGTAAACCAACCCTTATTTGTATTAAACTTTTAGTTAAAATCAACAAATAATTAGCTTTTATCAGATCTAAACATTATGAATTTAAAATGCTATCATTTCATAGTTACAGCATTTAAGTGTTCCTATTCTTGACTCAATGCTGAAACCTAATGATAGCCTTTGATTAACACATTTTCAATCTAAGAATAACTGAATTCTAGAAAATAACAATTAAAGAAAAAAGATAATTGTTATGATTTTTCCAACTTCCCAAGGGAATGGTCAAGTTTATTCTGATCAGATTAAACTTATAACGATTCTGATGAAATGAAATTCTTTCATCAAAAGTCAAACGGCAATTGAATAGTCAATTGTTGAAATGAAGAATTGAATAAATAATCGTCTCGCTATGATATAAATAAATTGTTTACTTGAAAAGATTGAAAAGATATTCAATGAACTTTCTGTATTCATTTGATCTAGATGAATATTGGACTAAAGTAAGGTTTAGACTCATCTTTTAGACACACAATATAATTTCAATGTTTACTTATTTTTTGACTTTTTTTTCTTCTCTGAATATTTAATCATAAAAGTGAACAGTTTTGATGAATTTACTGAAAAGATTAAAGTAAAGGAAAGCAAAGTAAATGTGATCACCTTAAAGCACACCTTAAAATGTGATCATAAATTGAAAGCTTTTTGTTCATCATTTACTGTAAATAAAACAAAGCTTCTTAAGAAGGCGATGAAACTATTGAATGACCTTTAAGACATTTGGTCTTGACTCGTTGCTCTTCCTTCGAGTGTTTACTCCCAGTTATCACCTCCTATAAACAGCTCAGGTAAGAAGCCAAATATTTGCATCGATTGTGCCTCTTTAATAAAAAGCTTACAGCTTAGCACCTGAGTGTCACTTTGAAGGTATAAAATGCAACCAATCAGTTGATTTGTTTAACGATTTAAACCAGATTCTAGTTTTCCAATTAATATTTAGTTTTCGGGTGAAAATGAAATGAAGATTTGAATGGGAAAAGAAGCGAAACAAAAGGAAGATCAAAAAGTGTCATTTTACTTGTAACTGTCAAATGTAAATGTGTTTTCAAAGACAAAGTAACTCAACTTTTTTGGTTCCTTTTTTTGTTCAGTCTATCTAATCAAACTTAAGAAGCTTAAAATTTTTGTGGTCAAAATGTGTCAAAAAGTACAAGCTAAAATGTAAAAAATATGATTTGGAAAGAATCACGCCTTCAGAATGATGTAAAATCATTCAAACTTACATTTCAATCCTTTTTGTTGTTTTTCAAAGTTTGCCAACTTTTGAAACCTCAGTTTCTTTGAATCAATTCTTGATGTTCATTTCATCATCTTCGTTGTCTAACTAGAGGCTGTCTCAAACATCGCATTTTTGCGCAATGAGTTCAATAGAATTCAATCCATAACGCCATCAAACTAAACTCAATTTTTATCATTTCACGGGACTCCAGAGTACGTGTTGTTACTCTCAGCATCCTGCTAGAACATGACTGCCTGAGGAATCTTAGTTGCTAACATTCAGCTCGACATGAAAAAAGCCTTTCTTAAAGCAAACGAAAAATCCGTTCCATCTCGTGTAATACGCTAGCGCATAAAATTGATTCCATTTGTTTGGTTAAAAAGTGTCGTTGGATGGACAATCAATGGCGAAATCGGGGACAAACTTTAAACTTCGATATCCTTTTGTACAGTTGAGGCAGCAAACAGTTTACTCGAAAGGCAGATTTACATATACTACTAATCTAACCATCAACCTGAAAACGAAAAAGTTTTCTCTCAAACACAACAAATTTCCCCATTCTGTTCAAACTCGAATTTCTCAGTAGCCTGAATACTGATCAAGCTACTTTTATCGAACATTTAGTGACTTTAGAATCATGAAGTTTTCTCGGAATCTGTTTAGTTTGCCACAATTTTCAAACAAAAATTTGATACATTCTCTTGTATTGTAAGTATAGATTTTATTTTCTTGATTTGTAGTTGGACTAATCATGATTGAGTAGGAATTACATTTAATAATGTGTTGACACCTTTTCAAACGATTTGCTTTAAAAAGGTAAAAACCTATAAATTTATTGAAAAGGGGTCATGAAACATGAATACTTACAATTTTCAGATATTAAGCTGCATGGTTCAAGAATAAATATCAATAAATATCGTGATATTGTCAATAACTATTATTGATCCTTGATTTACTCCTCTTCATCTGAATCAAAATGAAATCAAAAAAGTTCTTAAAAATTGTTTGCATTCGTGAAAGTATTCAACATTTACAAAAATAAAATTTTTCAGTTTCTTATCCAAATCTATAGAAAATAATGAAAAATGAAAAAGTTTTGTTCAATTCCTTTCTTCCATCTTCATATTTTCATATTTTACTTCGATATACCTAAAGACTTTTCTGAAGCATTAATATGAAAGTTCATCACCAAGATTCGGATGCAAATGATTTGAATAAAGATGCTCATCAGAACTGAATTTAAAAATATTTTATAGTGTGTTTGCCTGTAATAAACAGCAATCATTAAAATATTCAAGATCACATTTTCTCACAAAAGTCCATTAAAAATGGTCATTAGTATTGAGTTGTGACCAATTCGTGATCAAACCCCAAACAAGTAACAATCTGAAGACATTTAAAGCAACTTTGCTCTGAATAAGATTCAGAAAGAGCAAGTTTAACATGATACTGATGATGATGGACATGATAATGGAGATGGCTTAGAATCATTAATAAAAACAATTTTCTTCATGAACTAATGAATTCATCGAATCTGCAAAACTGTCTAACCAAATGTGAACATATTTTGTAAACACTTGTAAGGCAACTCAATGAATATGTTGGTTACATTGATTAATCCATTATTATTGAATGTAAAAGCTGCTCCTTTTGCCTTCAACAAAAGCCTTTTACCTTTACCCTTAAGTACCCATTTTAAGATTCATTTTGAAACCTTTTTTAAGATTATTTCCTTGTCCATGTTAAATTGTCTGTCCATAATACACTTTCAATCTGCTTACTATTATTTGACCACTCCATTGACCCATATCAATCCATCCATATATTTATCAAGGTCAACTCTTTACTTTTTCCTATTTCCTTTCTTCCCTTTCCTGGACATCTTTATCCTCCTTCTTTCCCCTCCTCCTCCTCCTCCTTCATCATCATCATCATCATCATCTTCTTCCTTCGCCCAACTCATTTTAACCATTTCAAGTCCATTTCAAAGCTATTAAATTGCTTTTGTGGGCAACAACAAAACCCTATTCAATAACCAATCATTGTAACAATTTCATCTTCATTTCAGCCTCTTTTAACTTTAACATTTTCCATTCACATGAACCAATGTAATATGAAAAGTGATTCAAACGGAACCACGCAGTTGACCTTACCTTGTTTAGTCCTTTATTAAACCCTTTATTATACACAGAAAAAGTGAGATGAGCTAACCTATTGACCTTTCACTTTCATTGAAAAATATTTAAATTCAAATGTCCATTTCACTTTCCTTTTATAATCTTTTTCTTCTTTTTTTTATTCTTTTCATCTTCTTGTTAGAATCTACGGAAATGGCCGGAAGTAACCCAATTCCAGGTTGACAAGATAACAAATGTTGAAACATGTTAATCTGGTTATAACATGAAATTGATAGACTTTCATTGTTTCCAAATTAAATATCCGTTCCATGTTAACCAAGCAAACACTAACAATTGGTAATCTTGGTTTAATCCAGTTTCTCAAGACATTTGGATTCGAAAACTGTTGTTCAGTTGATTGTTCAATGATAAAAGAGGAAAGGAAACATTGGAATAGCCTTAAGGCCTCTTCTCCTCGTTCAAGACCAAAAGAGGTGTTCACTATGGAACAAAGACTATGGACAGAGAAAAGATGACCGTTTGAAAAATGAATATTAGGTTAAGATTAAACTTCCCTTGAGTCTAATTAGGAAAAAGAAGAAAAGACAATTAGAGAATTTACCTGAAAGAAATGGAATCTAAATCAACTAACGATACTTAATTATCCCAAGTCTATTTGGCCCTTTGCTTCTCACCCATCAACAGGTAACAATAAATTAGCATTTACAATGCATCAGTCTAAATGGCCATCCATGACCCATGACCAGCTTGAGTCAGTTGCACTAATTTGCCTCTTCAGACATTAACATGAATAAATGCTGCTCAATAACTGAACCCGAAACAATTCAATGTAACACTCAATTGTTGAAGCAACTTAAAGATTGTTTACTTTTAGGCGTTTTCAATCGCATTTTTGATAACAATTATTGCCACTCAGCTCGATTTTATAGCCATGTAAAGACGCAACAGGTTTAAGATTATCAGTGAATGGAAACACCTAAAAGTTAATTTCGATTGAAAATAATTGATTGTTGGATAAACACTAATTTAACATAGAAATTAAATATTGAGTTTCCTTTTTCGGCTAATCAAAGGTTACTGGAAAATCAACTTTTATTGTTACGATGACCTTAATCTGGTTTCGTGTTAAAGTTCAATTAAAAGTGAATATGGAAACATTGTTATTATTATTGTCAATTTAAGGTTTAATTAGTTTCATTTTATTGGTTTAAATGGAAAGGGTGTTTAAAGGTGATTCA